ATCCACAAGATTGGAGGCTGGAGGACCACAAATTGCCGCATAGTGAGTTCAACACCAACCTGGGCTGTATGAAACCTTGTCTCAAAATGCAACGAAAACCAAAATTCCTTCTCTTTTTGGGGTGGTGTTGGTGTTGAGATAGGGTTTCTCTGTAGCTCTGGCTGTCCTGGAATTCACTTGTACACCAGGCGGCCTCTGTCTCCTGAGTGATGGGATCAAAGGTTTGGGCCACTACCACCTGGCTCAAAAATCCCCTCTTAATCAGGCAGTTCATACTTTTTTTTAGACTAATAATTTATCTAACAAATATCGATACCTTACTTTGGAAACTAAAGCACCAGGGATGCTGCCTACTCCTGGGTCCTCCAGAATGAGAAGAAAGTGAGGAAGCCTTGAAAGAAAAGGCCAGAAACACAGGGTACTTACATTTAAAAAAAAAAAAATCTATTTACAAGGGCTACAGGGTGGCTGGAGGAGATTGAGACCTTGGGAGAACAGGAGGAGCCTAGTGGGCAGCGAAGGTCCTTATGTTTCCATCCCTCTGCCCTCAGTTTTCTTCCCTGTCCACGTCTAGTTAGGTTTTCTTTAAAAGTCCACTGCACAGTTGAAGCTGCTGAGGCAGTACTTAGAGGTTGGTAAGAATGGGGTTTTACACTGTAGCCCAAATTGACCCAGAACTTACTGAACAGTGTGTCCCCGCTCCCCCCCCCCCCAACACACACAGGGTAGTTTTGCGCCTTTCCTGGAACTCACTTTGTAGACCAGGCTGGCCTCGAACTCGCAGAGATCCGCCTGCCTCTGCCTCCCGAGTGTTGGAAATAAAGGCGTGCGCTGCTGCTGCTGCCGCTGCCGCCGCCACCCGCCGCCGCCGCCGCCGCCGCCGCCGCTGCTGCCTGGCACATTTTAGAGTTTTGTGTGAGTATTTCTCTCCTTGATATTTTTGCCTGTGATACATTGGTTACAAAGTCAATGTTACCAGGTCACTTTTAGTATTCTTATTTTTGTGTGTTCATGTGTGCAGGTTACATGTATGTGCACAAAGTGTAGAGGCCAGAGATCTGATCTGTTTTGAGAGTCTCTTCACTGGCCTGGAGCTCACTAAGCAAGCGAGATGAACTGGGCTAGCCTGTGAGTTCCAAGGGATCCTCCTGTCCCTATCTCCCAGCGCTTGGATTATAAACACTACATCATGCCTCTCTTTTTCACAGGGGTTCTGGAGTTAGAGCTTAGGTCTTCATGCTTGTATTGGCTAACACTTCCCTGCTGAGTTATCTCCCCAGCGCCGATTTAGCTTTTTTTTTTTTTTTTTTTTTTTTTTCAAAATCTGCCCTTTATTTATGATTTAGCTTTTTAACATTTAAAAATTTGGGGTTGTTGAGATAGCTTGGTGGGTAAAAAAAAACCTTCTGTGAAAGCCTGGAGTTCAGTCTCCAGAACCTGAAGAGAGAATGGTTCCTGAAAGTTGTACTCTTCCACACATGGTGCTTGCATTTACACACTCACAATAATTATGAATATTTAAAAAATATGTAGGGATTAGATATGATTTTTATCTCAAGTTGGTATCTCCAACCCCCCCTTTGGCCTGTCAACTATATTAGTTTTTATTTTGGGATAAATTTAAGGGTGAAACAAACTTAAATGGTACTGTTAAATCATTACCTGTGTCTGGTAATTTAAATATGAATCCATTTATCTAGAAAAGTTAAATGTCTCAGTATAGAAACAGCTGTTGTTTGTGACAGAGCGGGTTTTCAAACTGTACCTTTTTTTTTTTTTTGATTTGTTTTTTTTTTTTTAAGACAGGATTTCTCTGTATAGACCAGGCTGGCCTCGAACTCACAGAGATAGGCACGCACCACCATTGCCCAGTTTAATCCATATCTTAAGGAAGCACCGCCCCTAAATTTTATTCAAACTGCATTTAGTAGGTTATACCAATTTTTGGTTAGGGATATTAAGAATTGCACAACACATGCAGTTGAACTCGTTTTTATTTGACCGGCAAGTACAGACAAAATGGTTATTTAACTTGTTTCATGTTATCTACCTTATAAAAAAATTCTAAGCCTTCAGGTTGATAGTGGTGAGTCAGTCATTTTGACAAGGGTTTGGGAGAGCATGTGTACAAAGTGTGTGTGTGTGTGTGTGTGTGTGTGTGTGTGTGTGTGTGTATGCTTCTGTATGCGTCTCAGAGCTTCTGTGTGCGAGTGCATGTATGTGTATGCACATGTACCATGGCACACTTGTTACAGTGTGAGTGTAAAGGTCTGAGGATAACCTTGGATGTCAGTCCTCCCCATCTTGTTTTTCAACTGTGTATGCTATTCTCCTGTCTCCACCTACCTCCCTCTTCTTCATAGAGTGTTGGGATTGCAGACTGGGCATTCAAACTGAGATCCTCATGCTTGCATGGCAAATGCTTTTACCTACTGAGCCATTGGAAGTTAAGATTTTTTTCTTAGTGTTTTGGGGGAATGTCTGAGTATCTTGGTTAGTACATTTTCAGTTCTGCTTTACCTGATTTTGCCCACAAAATCGGAATTTGGTTATAAATTCTCAGCTTTATTTCTCCTGCATTATTCTGTAATGGCAAATTGTCACGTAAGTATAACTGCTTGGTACTAGTGAATTTTTCTGTAGTAGAAAAATCCCAGGGGCTGGAGGGATAGCTCAGCGCTTAAGAGCACTGGCTGCTCTTCCAGAGGTCCTGAGTTCAATTCCCAGCAACCACATGGTGGCTTACAACCATCTATATCTGTAGTCCCCATGAGATCCAATGCCTTCTGGTGTGCAAATGTACATACAGACAAAACACCCATATACGTAAAGTACATAAATAAACCTTAAAAAGAAAGAAAGAAAGAAAGAAAGAAAAGAAAAGCAATTTCCAAAATTAGCAGTTCTTTCCTTATGAACCAGGTTTTAATGTTAATTTAAATATCTTCATTCCATGAAGAACATGGTTCTGTTCCCCTTCCTGAACATGTGGTCCCTCTCCAGCAGTTGTTGTTGGGTCTGCAGAAACCATACACACACACACACACACACACACACACACACACACACACACTTCACACACCACACTTTTCTTTTCCTCTCTCATGTTAGAGATAGAACCCAGGGTTTGGTCTATGCTGTAAGTTTTCTATCACTGAGCTGTGTGTGTACCTAATTTAATCTGGCCTTTGTGTGACTAATGATCTTATGCTCAAGAGTATGCTGAGTTTGTAGTGTGCTTTTCTGCACAGAGTAAGCTACCTTCCTCTTTTTTTGCAACTAATGTCATCAATTGAGTTGGTGTTAAGTGGCTGTAATACAGAGTGAACTACAATAACACAATTTCTGTCATTAAAGGTACTGTATAGCATACATACATTCAAAAGCATTTGGTGAAATTGAGGCCAGGAAAAACGATAAAACTGCATTTGTTTCTTTTTTAAAGTTTCATTCATTTATTTTATATATGAGTGCTTTGACTGCTTGTGTATCTCTGTACCATATGTTTGCCTGGTGCCCAAGGAAGCCAGAAGAATGTGTTGTATCCTCTGGAGTTGGAGTTACAGTTATGAGCCACCATGTGAGTGCTGGGAATTGAACCCGAGTCCCCTAAAGAGCAGTCAGTCTCTTAACTGATGAGCCATCTCTCCAGCCCTTCTCCATATTTGTTTTTTAACGTGTCATTAATTAATTAAACTTTCTATATTTGTGCATGTATGTGGAGATCAGAAGACGGTTGGAGGAATTGGTTCTCTCCTTCCACCCTGTGGGTCCTTGTGATTGAGCTCTAGTCATCAGGCTAAGCTACAAAACTCCTTTACCCAAGAAGCCATCTTGGCAGTCCCTAAATTGTTCTTTTCTTGTTTGCTTGTTTTATTTTGTTTTTTTTTGAGACAAGAGTTTCTCTGTGTAGCCCTTGCTATCCTGGAACTTGCCCTGTAGACCAGGGCTGCCTCAAACTCAGATCTGACTACCTCTGCCTCCTGAGTGCTGGGGTTAAAGGTTTGTGCCACTACTGCCTGGCTCCTAAATTGTTCTTTTAAAAAGTATCAGTTCCTGCTGGGTAGTGGTGATACATGCTTTTAATCCCAGTACTTGAGAGGCAGAGGCAGGCAGATCTCAATGAGTTTGAAGTCAACCTGGTCTATAGAGCGAGATACACAGAGAAATCTTGTCTGGAAAAACCAAAACCAAACCAAACCAAACCAAAACAAAACAAAACAAAAAACCAACCAGTTCTAATAAGTCAGAAATATATGAATCCTTGTCATCTTGGATCTATAGATAGATGTACTGTATAATGTTAGTGCTTGTGAAATATATGCAGAACTAAGCTGAATATTTGAGATGGGCTGAAGGGCCCCAATGGAGCATATCAACAAGATATTTTCTAGACACTGTCTTTGCTGTTACTTTGATAACTTCAAATTATCCAGTTTTGTTTAAGAAATAAAGAAACGGGACTGGAGAGATGGCTCAGTGGTTAAGAACATGTATTATTCTTGCAGTGGACCCGAGTTCAATTCCCAGCACCCACATCAGGCAGCTTACAACTGCTTGTAACTCCAGATTCAGGGGATGGCCCTAGTCTTAGATACATGCACATATACGGACAAACACACATGTACACATAAATAAATAATAATAAAATATTAAAAGAAACATTTAAGTTTCTTAAATAATGGGCATGTATATGATAAAATATATAGTTCTATACCATTTCTCGGTACTTGAGCATGTTCCAGGTGCTATTCTATTTCACAGTACCAATTCTGAACATTTATATACAATTGTTAAAGTCTTTGAGTTGTAAAAATTTGTTCATTACATTTTTCTTTTTGTAAGTCTCTTTTATGATATTGCTATGTATTCATACTTAAAATTAATCATTAAATCCTCTTCTAAATCCAGTTTTGTTTTGTTTTTAAATCACAGAGTAGGAAGTTAAATTAAAAAGTTCCAAATAATTATTTTTCTTTCTTTATTATTTATTATTACAGCTTTACCAGCAGGGACGCTTATGTCAACTGGGCAGTGAATTCTGTGAATTGGAAGTTTTTGCTAAAGTTTTGAGAGCTTTGGATAAAAGGTAAATTTGTGTGTATGTATACTATGTTCCTGCTTTCATCCGTCTGTCCTTCCTTCTGAGTCTTGTGACTCAAGATGGCCTTGAACTTGCCAAACTTCTGATCCTCCATCTACTTCATGAGTGCTTGAATTGCAGATGGGAGACAAGGTCTCAAAAGAAAAAAGGACTACTAAAACATATATACCATAAAATCTGCCACTTAAACCATTTCAAAATGTGTAACTCAGGGACTGGAGGGATGGTTCAGTGGTTAAGAGGACTGCCTACTCTCCCAGAGCACTCAGATACAATTCCTAGCCCCTATAGGACAGCGCCTATATGAAACTCGTTTCAGGGGGTACAACACCCTCTTCTGGCCTTCAAGGACAACAAGCCTACATGTGGTACATAGACATATATGTCGGCAAAACACTTCTCATACACATAAAATGATAAATGAGATATAATTCAATGATATTAAGTACACTTAATATCAGCCATCAGTAGTAGACATTTCTGGAATGTTTCACCATTAAAGTTTATGAGTAGATGAAAGACCACTGAATACTATGATAGCAAATTCTATGACATGGGAATTATAACTCAATGAAAAGCCTTGAAGAACAAAATGATAATAGTCATACTTTATATAATGGGAAAAGGTCACAGGACATACTGTTACTTTATAAATACATATAAAGCTCTTAGTAAGGGATTTGATAGTTTGGTTTGGTTTTGAGTCAAGGTCTCTTATAGCCCAGTCTGGCTTTGGATGTTGGTCCTCGCCTTACACTTACTTGAGACAGTGTCTCTCTTAGTGTTCACTGCTGCATATGCCAGGCTAGCCAACCTGTGAGCATCTAGCAAGTCTCTTATTTGTGCTTCCCATCTCCCTGTAGAGTTGTACTGGGATTACTGTTGTTTGTGCTGCTGTGTCCAACTTTTGTGTGTGTTCTAAGATCCAAACTCGGCTTGTGTGGCAAGTGCTGAGCCATCTCCCTGTTGTCTTTGTATTATTGGAACATATGTAATTTTTAAAGATAGCCCCATCCTTCAGTACCATCAGGTTACAGACTTAGCTTCACCTTATCTTGTTTTGGAAAAAACAATGGTACTATGTTTAATAGAGGAGCAGCTAGCTCTAAAGGGGCAAAATCAATTACCTCTCTAGAATCACCTTTCTCTTGTCTTTCAGACATTTGCTTCATCATTGTTTTCAGGCTTTGATGGATCATGGTGTTAAAGTTGCTTCTGTCCTGGCCTATTCATTCAGTAGACGGTGCTCTTACATAGCAGAATCAGATGCTGCAGTAAAGGAGAAGGCCATCCAGGTTGGCTTTGTTTTAGGTGAGTAATGGCAAAGTAGAGGAGTGTTTTATTCTGTAATGGCCTTGGAGTTAAACCTTCTAACGATAAGGGTTCCTCCAAGAGTTCCCACAGTCTGCACAGGCAGATTGTGAGCAGCTGTCATACCTACGTGTGGCCTACTTAACTTCAGCATCTAGGTGATGTCTTCCTGAATTCTCATGGCATTCCAGCACAGTGACAGCAATGGTAGCATTTACATATGCAGAAGTAAACTTAAAGAAGTTGAGTAAGTGGATCAGCTCATAGCTTTTAGTGAGCTATGTTTAGAATCCTGTGTCTCTATGATCTCAAAGCAAGTCTTACTGCTGTGACATGCTGTCACCAAATTCTTTAACTGCTTACTGTATGCTGTGGCATGAGACTAAATGTTTTTAGGGCCTTGTTTTTGTTATTGATTTTCAAAAGTAGTTAATTTTGTGGAGATATTTTGTAAAGATAGCGGAAACCACTTTAAAAATATTCTGGAAAGGCTTATAATATATACTGCGATAATTTTGTAACTTGAATAGTTTTCACAACTCTACAGAGTTAAAAGTATGTTTCAGGCAATTACTTACTCAAGTTATTATTCCCTCTTTCTGTGCTGGGGATCAAACTTTTTAACATAAACTGGGCTGTAGTGGCACACGCCTTTAATCCCAGCACTTGGGAGGCAGAGGCAGGTGGATCTCTGAGTTTGAGGCCAGCCTGGTCTACATAGTGAGTTCCAGGACACCCAGGGCTGTTACACAGAGAAGCGCTGTCTTGAGAAACCAAAAAAGAGCCGGGCGGTGGTGGCTCACGCCTTTAATCCCAGCACTCGGGAGGCAGAGCCAGGCGGATCTCTGTGAGTTCGAGGCCAGCCTGGACTACCAAGTGAGTTCCAGGAAAGGCACAAAGCTACACAGAGAAACCCTGTCTCGAAAAACCAAAAAAAAAAAAAAAAAAAAAGAAAGAAAGAAAAAAGAAGGGGGAAAAAAGTTAAACATAAGCTGTTAATGTTACAGAGTGTTTTGTGTAGGTGTTTTATTATAAACATGTCATTGTAGCTCTCAAACAGTTTACTGAGTCAGGTGACGTTACTGACTGTGTCTGTTCTTCAGGTGGCTTCCTCTCCGACGCTGGCTGGTACAGTGATGCTGAGAAGGTCTTCCTGTCCTGTCTTCAGTTGTGTACTCTACATGATGAGATGCTTCACTGGTTTCGAGCAGTGGAGTGTTGTGTGAGGTGAGCTTGGAGCAGATCCTATGGTTAGGTGGCACTTAGATGTCGGTGCTTGGTGTTAGTGGTTTGGGCTCAGAGTTCTGGGTATACTCCCAACAATTGAGTAAATTTCTTAGATGATGATAATTATGCCATGGTTTCAGTAGTCCAGCCTCCCATCTCCAAAATATTATGAACCTGCTCTAGATTTGTGCATGTGTGGAGACAGGATCTCACTCTGTAGACCAGGCTGGCCTCAAACTCACAGAGATCTTCCTGCCTCTGCCTCCCAAGTGCTGGGATTACAGGGTGCAACATCGTGCCCAGCCTATTTTGTTTTTTAATAAAGTAAAAACCTTCTTGAACTGTTGGGCAGGAAACAGCTTGAATCTGGATTTAAAGAGAACATGAATCTCATGTAGTTTAATTACTTGAAATCCAAAGATAAATAAAATAAGCTAAAAGAAAATAGTGGGGGGTGGGAGGAGGGAGGACAGGGCAATCTGTGGTTGGTATGTAAAATGAATAGAAAATCTCTTTAAAAGAAAAAAATAAAATAAATTAAAAAAAAAAAAAGAAAGTAGTGGTATCTCAGTGTTTGAGAGAAAATAGTATCCCTTACTGATTTTCAGGATAAAGGAAAACATTTCAAATCCTTCAAGACCCAGGGTTCTAATGTGTACTAGCAGATCTCCCTGTGAGTCTTACAAGTTAGAGCTAGGACCTTTGGTAACCTCTGAGTGAGTCACTGGCAAGGGGAATGGCATCCCTACTCTACTACTTGTTGAATTAGTCACAGCTTATTTCTCAGTCCTCTGCAAAGGTTGTCAGTGCTGAGCAAGTTCAGGCTCTGTCATCAGGCAAGAGGAGCAGCAATGGCTCAGAAAGAGAGCGGACCGTCCCCTACACCTCATAGTGATCCCTTTCTTAGCTTAAAGTAAACTAATTGAAAAACAGAGAGAAGATGCAGATAACCATAGTCAGAAATCAGAATTGAGACATGACTTCTGACCTAGAAATTAAAAAAAAAAATCATAAGGGAATCTTATGAAAAGTTATACATCATCAGTTGTAAAATCTAGATTAAAGCAACAAATTTCTAGAAATGAACAATTATCCAAATGACAGTAGAAGAAATTAAAAATCTCAGCAGACCCATAACAAACAGATTACAAAAAGTAGTCACAAACCTTCTAACAAAGAAAATAAAGGACTAGAAGACTTTGCTGATAAAATGTGCCAAGCATTTAAAGAGTTAGCACTGGTCCATCCCATCCTCCTAAAATATTGAAGAGTCTTTTCTCAACTCATTTTATGAAGTTACATTAATGAAAACCCAGGGAGGATATCCCAAGAAAAGATAATTAATTATAGACCAGTACCCCTTAAATATAAATGCAAAAATCCTCAACAAAATACTAACATCAAATCTAAAATAATACCTAAGTGAGATTTTAAACCAAGAATGCAAGAGTATTTTGACATATGAAAATAAAGCAATATAATATACCACAATAGTAGACTGAACAAAACGTATGATATTTTTAGTGGATGTTGAAAAGTATTTGACAGAATCTGCTATCCTTTCTTAATAAACACACACACACACACACACACACACACACACACACACACACAGCTAGGACTAGAAGAGAACCTCCTTGCTCGGCCAGAGACCATTTATGACAGACCTCCAGGGCGTGGTAGTGTATGCCAGTAACACTAGCTTTAGCTACATAGCAAGACACTGTCTGAAAGACAAAGAACCAAACAGGAGGTGGTACAGCAAGGAGGAGTTGGGGAAGTGGAGAGAAAAACAGTTAGCTTCGTGACACACCGAATCAAGAAAAAGGCAAAAGATGTCTCTACTGGAAATATTCAGCATTATATTAGAATTTCTAACCAAAATAGACAAGAAAAAGAAATAAATAGCATTGTATTGGAAAAGGGGGAAAGGACTACATTCATTGAACTCAGAAACTACATATGGTTTGTAATCCCAGCACTCAGGAGGCAGAGGTAGTGGGATTGCTGAGAACTTGTCTCTAAAAAAAGGACCAACAGCTGGGGAGATAGCCCAGCGAGTTGAGTGCTAGCCCGAAAGCATAAGGACTCGGCTTGGGGGAGGTGTGTCAGGCATGGTGGCACACGTCTGAATTGGCAAGCTCTAGATACAGTGAGAGATTGTCACATGCAAGGTGGATAGCAATTAAGGAAGACACTCAGTGTTGACCTCTGCTCTGGACATGTACTTCAGTACTCATGTACACGTGTACACACACACACACACACACACACACACACACACACACACACTAAAAAAAAGGAACAACAACAACAACAAAAACAAGCTGGGCAGTGGTGGCGCACGCCTTTAATCCCAGCACTCGGGAGGCAGAGCCAGGCGGATCTCTGTGAGTTCGAGGCCAGCCTGGGCTACAGAGTGAGTTCCAGGAAAGGCGCAAAGCTACACAGAGAAACCCTGTCTCGAAAAACCAAAAAAAAAAAGGAACAATAACCAAAACCCCTAGAAACTTGTAAATGAGGACAGTGTCAACACAGTGAAGCTGGGTCTGTTGGTTTACTTCTGTAATCTCAGCACTCAGGGGACATAGCAAGATCTGTCACTCTCCCTCTTTTCTCCCTTTCTCTCCCTTTCTCTTTCTCTCTCTCTCTCTCTCTCTCTCTCTCTCTCTCTCTCTCTCTCTCTTTTAAAGATTTATTTATTATGTTTATTTATCAGTGTTCTGCCTGCAGGTCAGAAGAGGGCACCAGATCTCATTACAGATGGTTGGGAGCCACCATGTGGTTGCTGGGAATTGAACTCATGACCTCTGCAAGAACAGCCAGTGCTCTTAACTGCTGAGCCATCTCTCCAGCCCCACTCTCGATCTTTTCTTTCCTCTCTGCGCACCCATCTTGTCCTTACTTTTTTTTTGGTTTTTCGAGACAGGGTTTCTCTGTGTAGCTTTGCGCCTTTCCTGGATCTCACACTGTAGACCAGGCTGGCCTCGGACTCACAGAGATCCACCTGGCTCTGCCTCCTGAGTGCTGGGATTAAAGGCGTGCGCCATCACCACCTGGCGAAAAAATATTACTAACAGTCTCAGTCATCAGGGAGCTCTATGTCAAACAGTCAAACACAGATAAGATACCACTTCACTTGAATGAAGGGCATGCAGAATTTGTTTTAATGAACTAGAGATGAGTTCTTGCCCATCATGTGTCGTGTCCTAGGATGGATTTCCAGCGATGCCAAAACGAGCAGAAAATTTAGTGGTAGCGAGGATGAGGAGAAATTGCAAACCTTGCACACTGCTGCTGAGTGTAAAATGATGCAGCTGTGTAGTGTACAGTTTGGCAGTTTCTCAGAATCTAAACATAGAATTACCGTATGGCCCAGCAATTCCATTCCAAGGTGTATATCCAAGAGCATTGAAGCAGAGACTCCGGGCTGGAGAGATAGCTCAGTGGTTAAGAGCACATTTTGTTCCCTTTTTTTTCTTTCTTTCTTTCCTTTTTCTCGAGACAGGCTTTGCATAGCCCTGGCTGTACTGGAACTAGTTCCATAGACTGTGCTGGCTTCAGACTCCGATCTGTCTGCCTCCCAAGTGCTGGAACTAAAGGCATACTCCACCACCTCCCTGCAGCACATACTGTTCTTGTATAGGGCATGAATTTGATTTTCAGCATTCACATCAGGTAGTTCACAACTGCCTGTAATTCCAGCTTCATGAGATCTGACCCCTCTCTGACCTCATACACAGACATACACGTACAAATAAATACTTAATAAAAAATGAAGGAAAGCAGGAACTCGAGATTTGAATACTATATTACAGAGCCAGAAGCTGAAAAGAATCCAAGTATCTATCTGCAGATGAAAAGATACTCAAGTCTGTGTGCTGCAGTGTGATGTACCTTGAGAATTTTACCCTGTGGAAAAAAAGGATACATAGTACATACATGTATATATAAAATAAATTTATAGTAGAAGTATATAGTATAGAGTAAATTTATATTTTATAATTATACTTTATATTTACTACATAAAAGTGGATAGTATAGAAGTAAAGTATATAGTAGAAGTACATATTATAAAAGTAAATTTATAAACAGTAAAAAGTTACTGAGGACTAGAATGAGAAACTACTGACTAATGATGACAAAGTTTCTATTGGAGGTAATGATTGCATAACATGATAAATGTAATTAATAGTACTGAATTGTACACTTAAGCATGGTTCAGGTAGGATGTAGTGGCACACTTTGTAATCCCAGCACTTGAAAAGTGGAAGCAGAAGGATCACAAATTAGAAGCCAGCCTAGACTAGATAATGAGACCTGTTTTCAAAAGAAAACAAAACAGAACTTCATTTTATATATTTCATTAAAATCCAAAAACTAGAATTCATTCCTTATCAGTCCGTAGTGTCACTGTCTAACCTGTCATTATTTCAAAAAATATTTTGTTTCTTGTTGCTAGGTAGGAATCAAACCCAGGGCTTCATGAATCCTAAGCACTTACCTTTGATTTCCATAAAAATGTACTAGATCTTAGAAAAAGTGGGATCTGATCTTAGGAAACACAGAAAGGAGAGAGGCTTGTTTGCTCAGTTTTCGTTCAGTGTATGCTGTTTCTTCACTTTGACTAAATACCTGACAGAAATAGCTTAAAGGAGAAAAGATTTCTTTTGGCTTTCTGTTTTAGGAGTCCTATTCATGGTTACTTGGCCCCATTCCATCCACACAGATTGGTAACAGAAGCACATTGGAGCAGGGTGGAAAGAAAGAGATGCTTGAAAGAGTCAGGACAAGTTATGGCCCCCAAGGATGTGGTCCTAGTGACCTACCTACCTTTCTCAACTAGGCCCCACCTCCTTTTCACAGTGTCTCAGTGACACCATCACATCAATTAATCCATTGATTAGTTCACAGTCCTCATGTCTGTCTCTAGGAACCCAGAGGCATGCTTTATTAAGTAACCTAGGCATTTAAGCCAATCAAGTTGACGGTTAGATGATCATATTATGTGTCTCTGTGTCTGTGTATTTGAGACAGTGTCTCACTATGTAGTCCTGGCTGACCTGGAACTCACAGAGATCTGCTTGCTTTTGTCACCAGAGTGCTGAGATCAAAGGTGTGTGTCACCACATCCATATCACTTGATATTCATTCATTCATTTATTATCTTTATTTTTATTTATTTTGTTTATCGAGACAGGGTTTCTCTGTGTAACGGTCCTGGCTGTCCTGGAACTCACTCTGTACACCAGGCTGGCCTCAAACTCACAGAGATCCAAATGCCTCTGCCTCCTGAGTGATGGGATTAAAGGTGTGCACAACCACCACCTGGCAGTATTTGTTTTTATTCATTTATTTTTTATAATTATAAATAATATTTATAGTTACAAATAATTTATTTTTAAAATTGAGATTTGTTTAAATTTTGTGTGTATGAGTATTTTGCTTGCATGTATATGTATAGCATGTAGGGGCATTGACTGCAAAGGTGAGAAGTGGACACAGGATCCCCTGGAACTGGAGTTACAGATGGTTGTGAGACACCGTATTGGTGCTAGGTCCTCTGCAAGAGCAGTAAACACTCTTAATTACTGAACCATGTCTCCAGTCCCTTTGGTTTTTTTGTTTGTTTGCTTGGTTGTTTGTTTTGAGCCAGAGTTTGTCTGTGTGGCCCTGGCTGTCCTGGAACTCACTATGAGACCAAACTGGCCATGAACTCATAGAGATCTGCTTGTTTCTGCCTCTCGAGTGCTGGGATTAAAGGTGTGTGCCACCATGCCCAGTTTAGTCTCTTAATTTTTTTAAAAAATTACATTTATTTTTGTATTTGGGGGCAGGGGGCTCAGGCATATGCCACAGTGTTCATGTGGAGGAGTCAGTTCTATCCCTCCATCATTTGTGTCCTACGTATTGAACTCAGGTTGTTAGGCTACTTTTACCCACTGAGTCATCTCAGCAACTGGTATCATGGATTTTGTTTTTGTCTGTCTGATATGGATCTAGTCATTTGCTCACTTTTTTTTGTTTGTTTGTTTGTTTGTTTGTTTTGAGATAGGGTTTCTCTTTGTAGCTTTGTGCCTTTCCTAGAACTCATTCTGTAGGCCAGGCTGGCCTAGGAGTCACAGAGATCTGCCTGCCTCTGCCTCCCAAGTGCTGCAAGTACGCCGCCGCCGCCGCCGCCGCCGCCACCTGGCACTTATTCTTTTTAAAAATTGTTTGTGAGGCTGGAGAAATGGCTCAGAGGTTAAGAGCAGAGGACCTGAGTTCAATTCCCAGCAACCACATGGTGGTCACAACCATCTATAATGAGATCTGGCGCCCTCTTCTGGCCTGCAGGCATACATGCAGACAGAACACTGAATACATAATAAATAAATAAATCTTTAAAGAATTGTATTTGTGTGTGTGGTATGCGTGCATATTCATATGTATGTGCGCATGTGCAGATACGTATCTGTCCCCGCGTAGAGTCATGTAGTTGACATCAGTCTTCCTTGACTGTGTTCTACTTTATTTATTGAGGGAAGGTCTCACTTGTGTCTAGCTGTCCAATTTGCTCCTAGAATTACAGGCTGCCCCAGGCCTGCCCCTTATTATGTAGATAGGTTTTGAGGATTCCAACTCTGGTCTGTGGGCTTTCAAGGCAAGCACCTTATCCATTGAGACATCGCTCTAGCCAGTTTTCATTTCGTTTTACTCTGTGTATACACAGGTGCACGTGAGTGTACATGTAGGCACACGTATGCTGTGGCCCAAGTGTGGGAGTCAGAGGACAACTTATAGGATTCTGTTCTCTCCTTCCACGAAAATCTGAGGATCAAACTCTGATCTTTATGTGTTTACATGCATCACTGCCTTTGCCCTCTGAGCCATCTAGCCAGTCCAGCCCTTCAGTCTTGTAGTAAATATAGTTACAAGCTAGTTGACTTCATGTTTGCATATTTTCCATTTGAAACTTGAATAGTTTGGCATGGTACACAGTAGTTGCTTTTTAGCCCAACATGATGGTATATGCCTTTAATCCCAGCACTCGGGAGGCAGAGGCAGAGGTAATGATAGTAGGCTCTCTCTGTGTTCCAGGACAGCCAGGGCTATGCAGAGACCCTGTCTCAGAAAAACCAACCAACCAACCAAACAAACAAAACCAGTTACTTTTTGCAGTAGCTGTTGATAAGGAAGGTGTGATTTCTTGTTGTTAATTGTGAAGTAAGCTAGTCTGTCTCCACAGTCAGAGTGCAGGTGGGAACCTTGGCAACACATCCTTTGCTCAGAGCTGTCAGTTGCACCAAAAGTTTCTTGGCTCTTCCATCCTGCTTACTCTCAACCCAGATGGACACACAGAAGCTGCTGGGTCTCTGTATGTTCATTATGTGTTTGAATAGAGCACAAATGGGACTGCAGAGAACACCAAGTAGTGCCTCTCGGCATTCAATAGTCTGTGGCCCCATCGTGTGCCAGTTACTAAGTAATGGCCAGAAAGGATCATCCTCCTGGAGTACTCATGGTAAAGAGCATTGGCAACTCCTGATACCCTTTCACTCGACAGTCTGTGTAACACAGGCTAGCTTTGAACTGCCTGTGTTGCTGAAAATTCCTCATGACTCTACTTACTGTCCAAGTGCTGAGATGATAGGTTCACACCACCACGTCTAGTTTATGGTGCTGGGGTTCGAACCTAGGGTTTAATGCATGCTAAATAAGCACAGCACCAGCTGAGCCACATGCTCAGCCCTATTATTATTTTTTATTTGTAGACTAGGTCTTGCTACACTACCCAGGATGGCCTCAAATTCATTCTCTAGCCCAAGCAGATTATGAATAGGCAAGGCTTGTGCCATCAGCCTCCCTCAAGTATCTGTTGTTTTTTTTTTTTGGTTTTTCGAGACAGGGTTTCTCTGTGTAGCTTTGCGCCTTTTCCTGGAACTCACTTGGTAGCCCAGGCTGGCCTCGAACTCACAGAGATCCGCCTGGCTCTGCCTCCCGAGTGCTGGGATTAAAGGCGTGCGCCACCACCGCCCGGCGATTTTTTTTTTTTTAAACTCTTGTATTCTGCTCAACCTTGACTAACCTGCTCAGAAGTATAGTCATTCCACCCACCATTCTAGAGTAATGAGATTAATCCTCCCTCCATCCTCCATCCCTCCTTTCCTCTTCTCCAGTTTGTCCAGTGCTAGGGAATGAACTTAGGGCCTCACACATGGTAGGGAAAGGCTCCACCGCCTAGCTATGCCTGCTTCTCACATGGTTTAGACAGTTTCATTGTTTAGGCCTAGCTCTGCCTCTAGAGTGCTGATATTAATGCCCTGCCTGGTTTTCTTTTAAATGTCTTTTATGTCTTTATTGCCTCTGGGTCTAAGCATTTTCAGAAGAACGTATTAACCTTATAGATATGGCATTCAACCAGCACTATAATAGGTATTTGTCCTAACAACTATTCTTGTCCTTTAGTCTGCTCTAAAGTTTGTTGATACACTTTCATACTCATTCAATTGAGAGCAGGTTGTACGTTATTTTGTGTAGTGTACGCAGGATTTTCTTCCACAGAGGTTTTGCACAAGTAGGTGTCACTGTTCCCTTAGTGGTCCAGTAAGCAAACTCAAGTAAAGTGAGCACTTGGGAAGCAGCATGGATGAGATAAGTGGCAACGGATGAAGGCGTGCGAGCACAGACGTAAATGAGAAAACAGTGAGGGCAGGTGCTAATGTCTCACACTGATTCTCATTTTCTTCACTATTCTGTATTCTGCTTGAATTTGGAATAAACATTTTTTGTTTAGCACATGCTGAATACACAAAATACACACTGTAGGAAACTCAAGGAACTGGCTGAGATCGGTCACAGGGAGCTTTCAGCATTGTCAGCGCCACGTTAGACAGAACGGCTCTTTCTCATGCAGCCTCATTCCTAGCATCCACTGTCTTGTCATTTAGGTTCTGCATCATTGTAAGAAGTTATCAGCGTCTGGGTTGGGGGTGTAGCTCAGTGGTAGAGGCCCTGGGTTCGGTCCTCAGCTCTGAAAAAAAAAAAAGAAGTTATCAGGGTCACTATGCTGGAAGTACCAAAAGTAAAGGACTTTTTTGTCTTTTTCAGGTTGCTTCATGTGCGAAATGGAAATTGCAAATATCATTTAGGTGAAGAAACATTTAAGTTAGCTCAGACATACATGGATAAGTTATCAAAACATGGCCAGCAAGCAAACAGGGCTGCTCTCTATGGAGAACTATGTGCGCTCCTGTTTGCAAAAAGCCACTATGATGAGGTAAGTTGACTTGTTGTTTTAAGACAGGGTCTTAGCCGGGCGGTGGTGGCGCACGCCTTTAATCCCAGCACTTGGGAGGCAGAGGCAGGTGGATCTTTGTGAGTTCGAGGCAAGCCTGGTCTGCAGAGCGAGATCCAGGAAAGGCGCAAAGCTACACAGCGAAACCCTGTCTCAAAAAACAAAACAAAACAACAACAACAACAAAAAGACAGGGTCTTTATTTGTAGCCAAAGCTAGCCTTGAATTTGTGATCTTCCTCAATCAGTCTTTCTACTGCTGGGGTCACAGCCATGTCCCATACCATGATGAGGTCAGTATTTTATGGTAACTACCTATGAAACAGGATAAGCCAGTCTTCTCTTACATGTTTTCTAAATTATATTTCATGTATTGGGTGGTCTTCAAGGTTGTGGGTTTTTGTTTGTTTGTTTGTTTTTGTTTTGGATAAGACAAGGCCAGGTAGCCCAGGCAAGCCTCAGGCTCAGGATCCTTCCATCTCTGCCTCCTGAATACTGGGATAAGGTTATAGGCATGTACTACCATTCCCAGTTTTCACATACTAGGTTCATGTCATAGATTTTATTGCAAAATGGAAAAAGACCTAATTTTCTTTTTTGTTTTTTTGAGACAGGATTTCTCTGTGTAGCCCTGGTTGTCCTGGAACTCACTCTAAAGTCCAGGCCGGCGTTAGACTCACAGAGATCTGCCTGCCTCTGCCTCCTGAGGGCTAGGGTTAAAAGCGTGCACCCCCACAGTCCAACCTAGTGAAATATGTAAAAACTAGACAAAAGGAGTGTTTGTGAGATGGAACTTAAATATTTACAAATGAAATTTAGGGCTTTTTTGTTTATTTTCTACAGGTGTTTGCCCAATTTATTTTAAAGGAAATGCTGTGTTAACTGAGCCTTAATAGAAGCATTTGGTTATATGTCATTTTGGGTGGACTATTTTAACATGAGTTCAAACATAAGTATTTAATTTTCAAGCACACTACCACTGAAAATGTTTTTTTAAGATTTATTTATTATGTATACAGTATTCTGCCAGCATGTATGCCTGCAGGCAAGAAGAGGGCATCAGATCTCATCACAGATGGTTGTGAGCCACCATGTGGTTTCTGGGAATTGAACTCAGGTCATCTGGAAGAGCAGCCAGTGCTCTTAACCTCTGAGCCATCTCTCCAGCCCCCCCACTGAAATGTTTTAAAACTGCATTATAGTTACCATAGTTGTAAAAGTGTTATTGTACTACTTTGAGACAAAATCAGCTTACTTAGTAGCTGTCTTAGTTGCTGTGATAAAACACTATGACCAAAAGCAACTTGAGGAGGAGAGGGTTATTTCATCTTAACTTTAGGGTAAGAACTCAAAGCAGAAACCTGTAGGCAGGAGCTGACTGCAGAGCACATGAAAATGTGCAGCGTGCTGACTTGCACCCCATGGTTTTCCCAGCTGGGTGCATCAGCCCAGGGATGGTCTCACTCATGTCAATCATCAGTCAAGAAAATGTACCACAGACTTGCCTGCAGGCCAGTCTGATAGGGGCATTTTTTTGAGGTTCCTTACTCGCAGATGACTGTGTCAAGTTGACATAAGAACTAGACAGTGTACAGTCTCTTAAAATTATAAACTAGATTTTGGGACCCAAGTCTCGTGAAGTTAATAGCTTTTATTATTTTTGCATTTTATTGTTTATGAATAGCAGTATTTCTTAAGTGAAATGGAAACTCATAGAAGAGAACAAATAATTATTTTTCTTCATTCCTAGTGATCTCCCAAAATTTTTTGTGTGTGTGTTGTATGGGTTTACATATATAGATATGTGTTCACATGAGTGGAGGGTGGAGGTCAGAGTTGGGGGTTTTCTTCAGGAGTTGTCTACCTTGGTTTTATTTATTTTTTTTTGAAGATTTATTTATTTATTATGTATACAGTGTTCTGTTTGCGTGTATCCCTGCAGGCCAGAAGAGGGAGCCGGATCTCATTGCAGATGGTTGTGAGCCACCATGTGGGTGTTGGGAATTGAACTCAGGACCTCTGGAAGAACAGTGCTCTTAACCTCTGAGCCATCTCTCCAGGCACCCCTCCCCCTTTAATAGATTTATTTTTGGTTTTTTGTTTGTTTGTTTCTTTTCGAGACAAGAGTTTCTCTGTGTAGCCCTGGTTGTCCTGGAACTCACTCTGTAGACCAGGCTGACCTCAAACTCACAGAGATCCTCCCGCCTCTGCCTCCTGAGTACTGAGACTAAAGGCATGCACCACAACTGCCCAGTTTATAGATTTGTTTTTAATTGTATTTACATGTATGTCTGTGTGCTGCTGTGTGTACATGAGTATAGAGGAGGCTAGAAGAGGGTGTTGGACTCAGGTTACAATGGGTGGTTGTAAGCAGTCTAATGTGGATGCTGAGAACTGAATGTGGGTCCTGTGTAAGACCAGCAACTACACTTAACCACTAAGCCATCTTTCCAGCCCTTTTTCATATGTATGCATGTGTAATATGCATGAGTATGTATTTATGTATTCACATGGGTGTGAGAGCATGTATGTGGGCAGGTATATGTATACATCCTTGAAAGTCCAAGGATGATACTGGGAATCTCAGTCACTGTTCCATCTTGAGACAGGACCTCTCAGTTAAGCCCAGGATTTACCAAAATGGGTACTCTAGTTACCTTCTTTCTTTATATAATAGCGGTTGTTGTCACTGTCCAGAATAATTTAGTTTGCCTTTTTATACCTTCTGCTAATCACTAGGAAAAGATCATTGTTTGTTTCACCTCATATTAATTAGATAGATGCTAGCTATTGCCTGCCACTTGACCTCTGTACCTCACTTTTCCATAATAGTGCATACCATTATGCTGTGTTATCAGTTAAATGTATCAGTGAACATGAAGTGCTTATTAGAACAATAGCATAATGTAGGCACTCAACTAAGCAGATAATTAATATAGAAAATAATAGCTGGGTACAATGGCACACACCTTTAATCCTAGCAACTGGGAGACAGTGGCAGTTTTATCTTTCTGAGTTTGAGGCCAGCCTAGTCTACATAGCAAACACCAGGCCAACCAAGGCTACATAGTGAACCCTGTCTCGGATAGAAAAGGGTGGAGAGTGGCGTGGGGAAAATGCTCCAGAAGGGAAAGGAAAATATAGGAAACATAATCTAGGACTGAAGCCTAAAAGATGAGCTTCGTACATACACTAAAGAGCCAGAAGGGGAATGTTTCCTAAGGTAGAGTGGGGGAACTGCTATATGCAAAGACTTCTGGGAAAAATAGAACATGCCTCATTTCCTCATTGTGTATCACATCTGTGATACTTTAATTTATACAAGCTGTCGGAGTGTTTGAGATAGAATTCATACATAGGCTTACCAGCGAGTCACTGAGCTCAGGAAAATCTTCCTGCCATGGCCTCCCTGACTCTGGAATGACAGGTGTGCACCACCACACTTTGCTTGAGAAAAGTATAATAGATGTAAGAGTCAAAATAGTGTGATGAACTCACACTTTCAGAGAATAGTCTCAGAAAATTTCAATTGTAAATGTTTTTGTGTGTGTTTGAGTACTTGAAATCTTGTAGGAAACAGTCACAGTCATTTCATTAAATACTGTCATTAGTTTGTCACAGTTTTTCTCTTCTCACTTTTTTCAAAGGCATATAAGTGGTGCGTGGAGGCAATGAAGGAGATCACAGCAGGCTTACCAGTCAAAGTGGTGGTGGATGTCTTAAGGCAAGCTTCGAAGGTGAGTATGACGTTTATAATGAAGTGTTTTATGCAACTTACCTGGCTTTAAGTTGTTAGTCAGTCTTTAATAACTAACTAGATCTGTTTTCTAAGTTTAGAAATTCAGTTTCTAATCAAAACTGTCCGATAGAGGGAGACAGAGGCGGTTGGGTTCTGAGGTTAACCTGGTTTACATAGTGAGTTCCAGGACAGCCAGGGCCACATAGAAAGACCCTGTCTCAAAAAACTAACCAACAAACAACTGTCTTATAAATTTTCTGTTATCAAAGAAACCTGTGAAAATAATTGCTTGAGCTCACTGAAGTACACATCGCAGTAATGTTTGATGCTAATTTGGCTTAAAATTTTGTCTTCTTTAAAGCTGAGTAGTAACCTCAGTTTCTCATTGGAAATGATGTGGGACCCATAGGCCCAGGGCTAGAGTGTCTCCTAGTGTATTTACCTTCCTTCTAGATTGCATTTCACAGTGAGAGAGCTTGTTATACTGGACCTGCTAGACAGTCTTTATTTGATTTTTCTCTTGTTTCTTTTTCTGTAAATAAGTATATGAATTCTTTGAGGCTATTTATTAGGACCTCAGAGTTACTGCTTCTGTATACAAAAGCCTTAAAGCACTGATGAACTTTCACATATATTCTTTGTATAGAAGTTACTCACACGTGAATATTCCGTTCTGATTGGTTTTATCCGAGTCATTTCAATTAGAAAAAAGACTGCAGATTTTTCGTTTAGAAGACACCACTGTTTCTGCGAAATACTAAAAAGTTGTTTATTGAGATGTGATCTTGGTATCCAACCTCAGCTGGCCTTAAACTTGCTGTGTAGTCCAGACTGCCCTCAGATTGTCACTTTACTTGGGCTACAGGCATGTTCCAGTGTGCCTGAGTCTCCATCATTCACTTTAGAGGAAGTGAATAGCAACATAAATATTCAGATTTCATCCACATAAGAAAAAGATGTTAGCATGCTTAATTTAAACATTAAATATATGCTTGTATGAAATAATATAACATGCAAAATTTGTACATTGTATTTAGAATTCACAAACTGGCAGTCTTCATGGTTCAAAATATTTTTTAGCCAGGTGGTAGTGGCACCCACCTTTAATCCAGCACTCAGTGTGTTACAGAGGCAGGCGGATCTCTGTGAGTTTGAGGCCAGCATGGTCTACAGGACAGCCAAGGCTATGTGAGTGAAATCCTGTCTTGAAAAACCAAAACAACAACAAAAGTAATTAAAAACTTGAAGTTCGCCGGGCGTTGGTGGCGCGCGCCTTTAATCCCAGCACTCGGGAGGCAGAGGCAGGCGGATCTCTGTGAGTTCGAGGCCAGCCTGGGCTACCAAGTGAGTTCCAGGAAAGGCGCAAAGCTACACAGAGAAACCGTGTCTTGAAAAAAAAAAAAACTTGAAGTTCTTCTGTACATATAAAAATTACTGTATGAACCTTTGTTCATAACTTGATGTCCCAGATCTTATCTGATGATCTCATAAGCCACGTGGAGAAGTCCTGAATAAGAAGACCTGTAAACAGCAGGTGCTGTTTAACAAAAAGGTCCAGTCAGATGGCTCAGTGTGTAAAGGCACTTGCCACCAAGCATGACACCTGAGTTCAACCTCTGGGAGACTCACATGGTAGAAAGAACAAACCAAATGCTGAAAGCTGTCCTCTGACCTCCACACATTGTATTCATTTGCACGTACATGCATGTTCGTGTGTGCACAATAAACTATTTTTTTTTAAGAATTTGTTTATTTATTATGTATATAGTGTATGTATGCCTGCATGCCAGAAGAGGGCACCAGATCTCTCTATAGATGGTTGTGAACCACCATGTGGTTGCTGGGAATTGAAGTCAGGACTCAGGAAGAGCAAGCAACCAGTGCTCTTAACCTCTGAGCCATCTCTCCAGCCCCACAATAAGCTATTAATAAATAATTTTAAAATATGGGACTGCAGAGATGGCCCAGCAGTTAAACACTGGCTACTTTTCCGGAGGACCCAGGTTTGATTCTCAGCACCTATGTGGCAGCTCACAACCTCTAATTCTAAGAGATCTAACACCTTCTTCTGGCATACATATAGGCAAATACCCTATACATAAAAACATATTTAAAAGTGTGTGTGTGTGTGTGTGTGTGTGTGTGTGTGTGTGTGTGTGTGTGTGTGTGTAGTGAGAAAAGTACATTGTAACATATTCCAGAAGTGGAATATATACTTTTAAAAATATTACGCTGCCTCCTCCCCCAACATTTTAGTTTAGTGTTAATAAAGGGATAGGCATTTACCTGCTTGTGGATTACCTTTGTTATAACAGGTTTATACTGGAAATGACTATCAGAATTTTCCCCAAGTTGTTTACAGATCTATTTCTTTTTCTTTTTTTTTTTCCGAGACAGGGTTTCTCTGTGTGGCTTTGTGCCTTTCCTGGAACTCGCTTTGTAGACTAGGCTGGCCTCGAACTCACAGAGATCCGCCAGCCTCTGCTTCCCAAGTGTTGGGATTAAAGGCATGAGCCACCACTGCCGCTAACAGATCTATTTCTTTAAAAAATTATTATAGAGATTTGGAAAGAAATTACAGAGAAAGTGTATCCTTGGCTGTCTTGGAATTTCACTGTATAGACTAGGTTGACCTTGAAATCAGATCCGCCTGCCCATGCTTCTTGAGTGCTGTGGTTAAAGGCGTGTTCCACTATTGCCCAGCAGAATCATTGATTTTTTTTTTTAAATTGACTATTATAGTGTGGTCTCAAACTATACTTATTGTAGCGTCCTAATGAACTGTTCGAGAGTTGTTTAATAATTTCCCTCTTTGTCTTTAGGCGTGTGTAGTAAAACGTGAATTTAAGAAGGCAGAACAGTTAATTAAACATGCAGTGTATTTGGCACGGTAGGTGATTGTTATTAAAGATACCATTGTAATGTGTTTTTCAACTTTATATCCTAATAGTTCTGTATCTTTTTATAGAGATCATTTTGGATCCAAACACCCAAAGTACTCTGACACACTGCTAGATTATGGGTTCTACTTACTCAATGTAGACAATATCTGTCAGTCTGTTGCAATTTATCAGGTATGTTAATGGTTATTTCCCTTTGCTTTTAACCTAAGTTGACTCGGTGATCTATATTTGTTTGCCATTTGTAAACCATATGTAAAATAACTCTTTGAGGGGCTGCAGAGATGGTTAAGAGCACTGGCTGTTTTTCCAGAGGACCTGGGTTGAATTCCCAGCACCCACATGACAGCTCACAACAGTCTGTAACTACAGTTAGGGGATCTGACACTCTCACACAGACATGCAGACAAAACAGCAATGCATATAAAATAAAAATAATTTAAAAAAAAAAACCAATAGCAGACCAATTTAAAAAATAAATAACTCACTCTTTGAAGAGCCCTTCCTTACTCCTACATAAAAGATTTTTAAGGGACTGGGCGGTGGTGGCCCACGCCTTTAATCCCAGCACTCGGGAGGCAGAGCCAGGAGGATCTCTGTGAGTTTGAGGCCAGCCTGGCCTACCAAGTGAGTTCCAGAAAAAGGCGCAAAGCTACACAGAGAAACCCTGTCTTGAAAAAACCAAAAAAAAAAAAAAAAAAAAAAAAAAGATTTTTAAGGGGCTGGAGAGATGGCTCAGAGGTTAAGAGCACTGCTTGCTCTTCCAAAGGTCCTGAGTTCAATTCCCAGCAACCACATGGTGGCTCACAACCATCTGTAATGAGGTCTGGTGCACTCTTCTGGCCTGCAGGGATATGTGCAGATGGAAAACTGTATACATAATAAATAAATAAATCTTAAAAAAAAAAAAACTGTAAAAAAAAAAAAAAGATTTTTAAAAAGTCAAATGTTTTAAGAATTGAAGAGAATCATCCAGGACTATTATCATTAGGCTATGGGTCTATATTCTACAGTACTTTCTTTCTGTAAGTTGCTGAGGTGATGGCTTCACTTTGTGGCAGATTTATCCAGGTCAGTCTACCTGACTTTTTACCAGCCAAGGTTGATAGCTATAATTTTAGACCTTATAGTCATTCTTTCAGATAAATGGTGTCCTGTACCATGGCTCTAGAAAAGACAGTGCTGATTTTACAGTTTTCTTTTAAAGAAGGGCCGAGGCTATGGCTCTGCTGGAGCATTTACACTCAGCCTTACTGCTGAAAGACAACTGATGTGATTCCCAAGACAGGCATCGTCTTCACAGACCCAATTCTTTCGGGGGTGACTTGCAGGTTCTTCTCATGTTTAAATCCAGCAGGACTTTCCCATTTGAAATTAAAGGGATTAGGTAGGTACATAGAGTGTGAGGATAGTTCATTTAACTTAGGTGGTATACAGTATTGTTAAATGTCTTTATGATTCTTTCAGGCAGCCCTTGACATTCGACAGTCAGTGTTTGGAGGCAAAAATATTCATGTAGCAACAGCTCATGAAGATCTGGCTTACTCTTCCTACGTTCACCAGTACAGCTCTGGGAAATTTGACAATGCACTGTAAGTTCCCCCTTTTCTGAGAAGGATAATGCTGTTTCCCTGTGGTATAATAGTCCTTAAGTGTTGTATAAATAAATCTGTCTTCCTGGTGCTATAAAATATTTTTGAAGTCATTTAGTAATCATCCCAATTTTTTTTTGAAGATTTATTGATTTATTTATTTTATGTATATGAGTGCTCTATCTGCTTGTACAACTATATGCCAGAAGAGGACATCAGATCACACTGTAGATGGTTTTGAGCCTCCATGTAATTGCTGGGTATTGAACTCAGGACATCCGGAAGGGTGGCCAGTGCTCTTATCTGCTGAGCCATCTCTCTGGCCCCAAATCATCCCAATTTTTAAGGCATCCATTTAGGCTTCCTTTGGTTTTGAATTAAGATTTATGTAATTCTATATGGAATGAGCTCTTTTAGTATTTCCTTCAGTGATTTTTCTTTAAGTAATTAAAGAAAATCTGGCTCAATGGCAAATTTAACAACCTATTAACTTGTTGCCGAAAACAGAAAAACTGTATAAATTGTAGCTCTTCTTTTAAATGTGTAACTAAGCTTGCAAGAGTGAGGAAAATCCCCAGCAACAAGTAACAGTCTCTAAAATCCTCAGCCGTGGACTATGGCTTACATGCAAAACTACTTTCACGGGTCACAGGCATACTCATTTGTCCATCTATTTCCTATGACTATTTCATGTCATGATAGTAGTCTTAAATAGTTGTGAAAGACTTAAAGTATTTACTGTGTAACTCCTTACAAAGTAAGTTCTCTGTATCTGGTATAAAAGAGGAAACCAGTATTATTTTGGAGGAACAGTGAAGGCAAAAATGCCAGGCGTGGTAGGCCATCCCTGTAATCCCAGCACTACTGCTGGTTCGGGAAGATAAAGAGTTCAAGGCACTTGCTGCCAACTGTGGCAGCCTAGTTCCAGCCCTGAAACCTGTATGGTGGAAAGAGAAAACTGACTCCTGCTAGCTTTCCTCCAACAACTTACTAAGAAAAAAAAAATTTTAGGGCCACTCTGGACTATACAGTGAGTTCCAGGCCAACCAAGGCTACACAGCAAGACCTTTTCTTTTTGGTTTTTTGAGAGAGGGTTTCTCTGTGTAGCCTTGGCTGTCCTGGAACTCACTCTGTAAACCAGGCTAGCTCCAACTCACAGAGATCCACCTACCTCCTCCCAAGTGGTGGGATTAAAGGCGTGTGCTACCACAGCTGACTCAGAAACCTTTTTTTTTTTTTTCTTCAGAGACGGGCTTTATGTTTTTTTTTTTGTAGGGAGTTCTAGCTGTTAGCCAGGATGACCTTGTACTCCTGGGCTCAAACAGTCCACCTGCTTCCTCTTGAAGGCTGGGAATTTTAAATGAAACAAGATACATCCTCCATCATGGTTGAGCCTTGAAAGCATGCTAACTTCCAGAAGCTAGTCACAGAGGATCACATCTGTGTGACTTCGTTTGTCTGCGGCTCGATGGGAGGCAGAGACAGAAAGGGAATGAATGGTTCTTAGAGCTGGGGTGTCAGAGGGATGTGAGGATTGCTATATGTAGCTAGGAATCTTTTTTGAGGTGGTACAAATGTCCTAAAATTGGTTTCAGTGGTGGATGTACTACTCTGAATATACTAAAAAACGTGGTGGCGCACAGTAGTGCTCAGGTGAGACAGGAGAATTACCAGGAGTTTGAGGCCAGCCTAGGCTACCAAATGAAACCATGTCTCAAAAAAGTAAACAGAGCTGAGGAAAAGGCACCTGTATAATCATTGATATTAAACCTCTATGGACGAGTTAAACAGTGTGTTAGTTAAAAACTATAAAGAGAGCTAGTGAGTTTGAAGATAGACAAGGGATAAGAAGTTTGAGGGGAACTAGAGAGATGGCTCAGTAGAGGAGAATGAAGACTGGTGTTTTGTTTTTCGAGACAGGGTTTCTCTGTGCAGTTTTGGTGCCTGTCCTGGATCTCACTCTGTAGACCAGGCTGGACCCGAATTCATAGAACTCCACCTGGCTCTGCCTCCCTAGTGTTAGGATTAAAGGTGTGCGCCCCCACCGCCCGGCTGAGTACTATTCTTTCAGAGAGCCTGAGTTTGGTTTGCAGCACCCGTGTCTGGTGACCTAGAGAAATGCAGCAGCACCTTGCCTCTGGGGGCTTCTCACATGCACATGCCCACACTCAGATACATGATTTAAAATGATAAAAATAAGCCTTTTTTCAAAAGAAGTTTGTGTTGTAAGGGAGTAGCAGGTATAATAGGCAAGTAGTTTGCCTTGTATTTAGTGGGCTGGGCTGTGAACAGATAACCAGATGTTACCATGGTCAGAAAGTGAGAGGGGTGAGTGATTTTTAAGGGGTTTATGACTCTGTTTAGTAAAGTGAACGGTGTGCACATAGAAGGGACAACACTGCAGAGTGAGCACGTGGTTTTCATCCAGAAGTTGATTGCCAGCTGTGTGGCCGGAGGCTAAGAGGGTTGGTGTGGGATGGCAGGAAATGATGGCAGAGAGAGGTAGCAGAAAGAGATTGAGTCTTGTAGACCATAATGAGGTCTTTGATTTTGAGGGAGATGAGAATTTAGTGGGTGTTAAAGTTTAATTCACAACAGTTAAGTTTGGGGCTGGGAATAGTGCTTGCCTAGCACGTGAAAGAGCTGGGTTTGACTCCCAGTCCATCAAAACAGACGGAACTCTGATCAGTAAGTAGTTTTTTTTTTTAAGATTTATGTGTCTTGAGTGCGTGCGTGCGTGCGTGCATGCATGCATGCATGCGTGCGCACTACAAATGAATGCAAATGCCCACAGAGGCCAGAAGATGTCAGATCCTCTGGAGCTGGAGTTAACAGAAATTTGTGAGCCACCTGATGTGAGTACTTGGACCTGAATTTTGGTCCTGTGGAGGAACAGCAAGTGCTCTTAACTGCTGAGCCATCTCTCCAGCCCCAAAACTCTTTTTTTTTTTTTCTTTCGTGGTTTTACTTGTACTTTGTCAATATTGTAATGCATGTTATGTTTTTATATCACTTTTAACTAAAAAGAAACACTAGACTATATCTATGTGTATTGCAGATTTCATGCAGAAAGAGCCATTGGTATCATTACCCACATCCTACCTGAAGATCATCTTCTATTGGCTTCTTCAAAGAGGGTGAAAGGTACCCTTTGTAATCTAGTCTCGAATAATTGTAAATTCATTCATATGTGACATAAAGTTAGGCTGTGTGGATGTATGACTAAAATAGTTCCCTTAACTCCTGTGGATCTCCTCTTTCATAGAACATTTGTTCATTTTCCTTTCTTCTCCATCCCTTTCCTTGGAGTCAGACTGAGGAGTGCTGCAGATGACTAGTTAGAGCCGAGATGACTTCCCAGAGGGTCAGCTTACAGTGCAGCCTTCCTTCTTCCTGCCAAATTCTTCCTGTGCTTGTTTTTTTTCTGCTAATCCTCACCAGTGCTCTTTCACTTAATGCCTTGATTCTGTTGAGACTGGATCACCCAGTGATGCATGAGGATGAGTCTTTCCTAATTCTGGGTCACCTTTATTCACTTTAGTACCAGCAATGAAGTTAGATAGTAAGGAGAAAAATAAGTTACACGAAGCCTCACTAATACTGAGTCACCATTTTGTAGATTATTTTAGTCCTCTCTGTCTTTAAATAAGATAGTAAAGGGCCAGTGAGATGGCTAAGGGAGTAAGTGGGCTTGCTGCCAAGCCTCATACCCTAACTTTGATCCCTAGTATGCACATGAAGTTGGTGGGAAAGAGCTGACTGCCACCAGATCGTTTGCTCACCCATCTGAATGCTGTGGCACAAACTCACCCACACACTAAATAAATACTCGAGAGAGTAACTTCTGGCTTTGTGTTGTCTCCTGTTGTACCTGGGCATTTTTCCGTCTCATTATAGGCAGGCGTGTGCCGCCTTCTAAGTGCCTGAATCTCCTCTCTGGACTTGAAACTGCTTTAGATCTTCTGTTTTCTTTTCACTGTCTCTGTACACGACAAAGCCAAGACGTAAAATGAGCTGGCAGTGTCTTTATTCTTAGGTTTTGTAAGGGTTTGGAAACCTTGGATGGAACTTTGAAATTGAAATGTCTTCTGACCTGATTGGGTTGGTGGAGTAAGCAGGAGGAAACGCTTTTTCAGTTATGTTTGGTTAAAGGTTATGTTTCATAAAGGGTGCTTTCAGAATTACCCGAAGTGCTTAAAGCACTCCTCCATGGTTGTGTAACTTTAACTTTCGCTTTTCTCTTTTGGTTTGGTTTTTGAGACAAGGTCTCATGGAGTCCAGACTGCCCTTAAAGTTGTCTTACAGCCAAGGCTTGTCTTAATCTTCCAATCCTGCTGCCTCAGCCTCCCAGTTGCTCACATAGGCATTCACCACTGTTCCCAGGTGGCCACTTACTTTTCAAATCAAATTTCCATCTATAAAATGTAGCAGGCTATTACAGTAGAAGCTGGTTCTGAAAAGTAATTTAAGGTTCACCATGTTTCCATTCAGTTGAATGAACATACTGTATAAATAGACTTTCCCAGAAGTGTGTTGTTGAAGTAGAATAGTTTGTCTTAGCACAATGGCACACACACCAGCATTAGAAAGAAGTTGAAGCAGGAGGATTGCCATTAATTCAAAGCCAGCTTGGGCTATATATCAAGAGCCCAGCTTTAAAAAATAAATAAATAAATAACAACCCTCAAATGTAGAACACTTTGATCTTGGCCAGTTCTAAACAAGAGTCAGCTATGTGTTCAATATTTAGTAAATACTAAGTCTTTAATTTTCAGTTAAATGTAAACTATGGATTTGACGTTTCCTGATTTGTGGCCTTCCTTGTTCAGCACTTATTTTGGAGGAGATTGCGATCGACTGTCACAACAAGGAGACGGAACAGCGGCTGCTTCAAGAAGCACATGACTTGCACCTGTCCTCACTCCAGCTGGCCAAGAAAGCCTTCGGAGAGTTTAATGTACAGACCGCAAAACACTACGGCAACCTTGGGAGACTCTATCAGTCAATGAGAAAATTTAAGGTCAAGGGGTTTATATTTTATCTCTAAATAATTAGTACCTTTAAAATAATAAATCGAGCCGGGCGGTGGTGGCGCACGCCTTTAATCCCAGCACTCGGGAGGCAGAGCCAGGCGGATCTCTGTGAGTTCGAGGCCAGCCTGGGCTACCACGTGAGTCCCAGGAAAGGCGCAAAGCTACACAGAGAAACCCTGTCTCGAAAAACCAAAAAAAAAAAAAAAAAAAATAATAATAATAATAAATCGAGCAGGGTGGTAGTGGCACACACATTTAATCCCAGCACTCGGATCTGTGAGTTCGAGGCCAGCCCAGGCTACAGAGTGAGTTCCAGGAAAGGCACCAAAGCTACACATAGAAAGCCTTTCTCGAAAAAACAAAACAAACCAAAACAGAAAAACCCGAAAAGCTGGTATTGTTGTAGTCAGGCTTCAGTCATAGTTCTCAGCTATGTACGTTTAGGTCTTAGCAGAATGTCTGGCCCATAATAAATATTCAGAGACATCAGATTCTAATAATAACACTAAAGTTGATTGTGTATAGTTACTAAGAATTAGGAGCTACAAAATCTAGCGGTACACTTACACTAATTTTCTTTTAGAATTTTTGATTCTAGTCTGTACAAGTGGTACATTTCCTTAGTGTAACACTTGGAAGGCTGAGACAGGCAGATTGATAGTTTGGTGCCAACCTGGACACACACATGCTCATATGTATGCACATGTCTTCATAAATTAATACTGTCTTAACAAGTTTAATTTTGGGGATGTGGTTATTCAAATTATTCTCTTTTTTTGTTTTTTTTTGTTTGTTTGTTTGTTTTTGTTTTTTCGAGACAAGGTTTCTTTGTGTAGCTTTGGAGCCTGTCTTGGAACTTGCTCTGTAGACCAGGCTGGCCTCGAACTCACTTAGATCCTCCTGCCTCTTCCTCCCGAGTGCTGGGATTAAAGGTGTGAGCCACCTTCACTCGGCTTTTGTTTTGTTTCTATTTCTTTGTTTTGTTTTTCGAGACAGGGTTTCTCTGTGTAACTGCACTGGCTATCCTGGAATTCACTTTGTAGACCAGACTGGCCACAAACTCACAAGAGGCCCATCTGCCTCTGCCTCCTGAGTGCTCTGGGATTAAAGGCATGTGCCACCAGCACTCAGCTCCATTTTTTGTTGTTGTTTTTTTTTTTTTGAGACAGGATCTCACTATGTAGTTCTGGCTGTCCTGGAATTCACTGTGTAGTCCAAGCTGGCCTCAAACTCAAGAGATCCACCTGCTTCTGGGGAATTAAAAGTGTGTGTCACCACTCTGTCTTTATGTTCATTTTAGAAGGTCCTTTATTGCTCTTTTATATTTGATAGTTTTGGTGTTTTCGTGACAAGGGTCTTCTCCATGTAGCCCAGGTTGACTTTGAACTATCAACTCTTCATGCCTCCGTCTGCCTGTTGGAAATACGGGCACATGTTGCCACACCCAACTCAGAATGTCTGTTCGTATTTACCTTTTCTACTTTAGGACCATTACAGTCATCAGCTTTTGTGTAGTTTGCAAATACCAGTGATGCTTTTTCATTAGCAGCTTTTGGAAAAGATAGAGAATGTTCTTTGATCTTACTACCTAATAGTTTTCGTAAGCTGGGGTTGACATTTAGAATAGACTTGCTCATTGAGTAGAATTGTCCTAAGAAAAAGTGCAAGCTAATATTCCATTTGGCCTATTTTTCAGGAAGCTGAAGAAATGCACATAAAAGCCATTCAGATTAAAGAGCAGCTTCTTGGTCAAGAAGATTATGAAGTAGCCCTTTCGGTGGGACATCTGGCATCTTTATATAATTACGACATGAATCAATATGAAAATGCTGAGAAATTATATTTGCGATCTATAGCAATTGGTAGGTTCCTTTAAATTTTTCTTAGGTGTCTAGAGAGCATGTCCGAATTCTTCTATGCTGTGTGAGGGAAAGTGCTGAGAAAGTCAGCACTGCAGAAGACAGAACGGACCTCAGAGCTGTTTAGAATCCTCCTGTCAAGGCTCTCCTCAGTATTGAAGTCATCAGTGAGATGTGTGACTGTAGTCACTGCTATGAGGTGTTAATCCAGCTGCTGCCCCTGCTGCTCTTGCCACCTGGAGGTCTCACGTCTTTAACATGATTAGGTTGGCCTTGATATTAAGTGGAGAGCACCCTTAGTGGGTTAACTGTAATGTGTTGCTGCATACTAGTCCTTGGTAATTTCCATCACTTATATTTTATTGGGTTTGTGTGTCGTCTTCATCAGTGAACACATAGAGCATTTGAATTGTCTCTGTTTGACCTTACTACCTCGTGTGTGAAATGGCTGTTAGGGTTCTTGCCCATTTTCATATTGAATTGTCTGCCATTGTTGACTTAGGAAATTTTTCATGTACTCTAACTTCCCTCTCATCCTGTTTTCCTGAGAGTGCCTTGGAAAGGACAGTTTATTTCACTTCATTTTATTTATGTTGTTTGTTGATACAGGGACTCATGTGGCTCAGGCTGGTATTGAACTCCAGACCATTGTTTCCTCCTAAAGCTGGGATCACAGGCATGTGCTAGCACAGCCAGCCTAATAACTCCTTGATGTTAACAGAACGCCATGATGTTTCTTTTATTGTTAGTACTTTTTGTATTTAGTTTGAGGGAGTTTTTCCTACCAGTTCTGAAAATACTCTTCTAAAGATCATCTTCTGGACACTTAACCATTCACTTTTAGATCTGCAATCCTAAAATTAGCTTGTTCATAGTACAAGAAAGGAATCAAATCTTACTTTTTCCATGCACATGTGTAGTCAACCTGGTACCATTTCTTGCACAGATTGTCCCTTCCCCCATTGCTGCCTCTGTCTGTCACAAATGGTGATCCATATGTGTGTGTTAGCCATTGTATATTGACTTACTGATCAATCCCTGAGTGTGTGAAATACTAACGTTCTGAAAAATCACAGATTCATAGGCAAGTACTTTCCTAGTTACATGTATTTCCTTCATTTCTTCTACATACATAGTTACCACATGCCTGCTTTGGGTACTAGTCTCATTTGTTTCTGGCTTATTTTTCTATGTATGGCTTACATAAAGGCATATGAATAAGTATTTTATCTTCCCTTTTGTATACAAAATAAGCACATTATAGATATTCTCTATACTTGGTGTTCTAGTTTTTTCTGTTGCTGTGACAAAAACACCATGACCAAAAAGAACGTGGAGAGGAAATGATTTATTTCATCTTACACTTCCAGATCATAGCTCATCATTGGAGGAAGTCGAGGCAGGAACCATGGAGAAATGCTGCTTGCCGACTGTCTCACAGGCTCATGCTCAGCTAGCTTTCTCATATAGCTTAGGATCCTACCTGCCTGAGGATGGTGCTGCCCACACTGGCCAGGGTCTTCCACATCCGTCATCAGTCATGACATCTTTCACAGATAGTGACCACAGGCCAGTCTGATCTAAGCAATTCCTCAGTTGAACTTGCTTCTTCCCAGGTGACTCTAGGTTGTATCAACTTGACAAAACCAGCACATTTTACTTTACAAGCAAAACTAGCCAGGAATGGTGGTAACACCTTTAATCCCAGTGCTCGGGAGGCGGAGGCAGGTGGCTCTGGGAGTTGAGGCCAGCCTGGGCTACAGAGTGAGTTCCAGGACAGCCAGATAGGATTATGTAGACAAACCCTGTAAGTGCTCCATATTATTTTAAGATACCCTTAAACCTGAAATTTTCAGCTAGTAAGATGGCTCATCAGGTCAAGGCAGCTGCCACCAACCTAGACAACTAGAATTCTATCTCCAGAACTCATATGATGGAAGAAGAGATTCCTGAAAGTTACCTCTGGCCTCCACACACATGCTCCGGCACAAGTGCGCGCGCACACACATAAACACACATGCTTGAATTAATTAGAAACCTTTTTTTAAAACCTGTGAAATTTATTTTAGCATTCTAGTGAAACCAGCTCCTTTAAATCTTAGAGATACAACATGGATGAGAGTGATTTAAGAGGCAGTGATATAAGGACTGTTTTCCTTCCATGAGACTAAAACCAAGCCAGCCTGTTTAAAGAATTAAACTTGTATTAAAATCAAACAAAAAATTATTGTATGTTTTTTGATCTGTTTCTTTCTTATGTTCCTTCAGGGAAGAAACTGTTTGGTGAAGGCTACAGTGGACTAGAGTATGATTACCGAGGCCTCATTAAACTTTACAACTCCATTGGAAATTATGAAAAAGTATTTGAGTATCACAATGTTCTGTCTAACTGGAACCGATTGCGAGATCGACAGTATTCAGTAACCGATGCCCTTGAAGACGTCAACAGCAGCCCCCAGTCCACCGAAGAAGTGGTGCAGTCCTTCCTCATGTCTCAGAATGTTGAGGGACCAAGCTGCTGAGGGACAGCCTCAGCAAACAATTACCTTTCCCCAGATTCCGGGGAATTCATACTGTGAAATCAAAACCATGTTGTTTTGGGGCTGGTATTTGCATTGAAACACTGGTCCAGTCCATGAAGACCCTCTTTCGGGTAGCCCTGTATTGCAGTTCCTGTAGAATAAGCATATATTGAGTTATATCAGCATGTGCCGCGTGTATAAGTAGTCCCACATTCTCACCCCATTAGAACAACAGGAAACCTTTTCCCCCCTTTTTAAAAAATAATTCATTTTTCAGAAAGCCTGAAAGAAAAAAAAGAACCCCTAAATAAAACTATTTAAGAGTTTAAAAGAGTTGCATTCTTCTTATGTAAGGATGATTTTAACAACTTTTTAACATTCTTCCATGTGGAGGTATTCAATACTGTATTGTAAAGAAATTTTATGGAAGACTCTTTATATGCAGTATAGAAAAGTAACACAGGTACTAATTAATAAAAAGGAGGGCATCCTGATGTAGATTTGGCCACTTTCCCAGATCAGTGCATACAGCCATTCCCCAACTGTATCAGGGAAGGACTGTCAGATTCATCTGACTGGACCAGTGTTGATCTGTCAGTCATAACACCAGGTGGACCAGCAGCTCAGCTCTTACTCTTGGTTTCTGGTACAGCAGTGAGATGCTCTAACAGTGTTTGCGAACATAACAGGACCAGAAGGACCTAAAAGGACCAGGCACCTGTGGAAGGTGGTGATTTGGACCAGGGGCTTTAGATTATTATTTAGTCACTGCACTTGCCTTTTCCAGTAGGATAATTTCATTTAGATAGGATGCAAAGTATTAATACAAGAGTTTTATTTGTATCATAGATACCAAACTATGGGATTTGGGCAATGTCAGTGGCAAATCTTTAGTCAAGGTACATGGAAGCAAGTTCTGTAACTATCTGCTGCAGCCACCCTCATTTTAATCTTTGCCCGAATACTCCATGTTGCTAACAAACATGCTGGCTAAGAGTCGTGAAATGATTCATGTTCAGATGAGAATTTTAGGTTTACTCTGTGGGGATTAAGAAGATTGAATGCACAAAAATAAGTCTTAGAAAATCTTCATTTTTATGGGAAATAATAGTACAACTAGTCATTTTAACTGAAACCCAGGAGTCGGGTGGAAAGATCCAACTATAATGTCTGATTTTCTAATTTTTTAAAACTAGCCAGGTTATTGAATGTGGAGCTAATACTCAATTCCTAAGTTGTGTGACAATGTAACAAGAAGAAACAAAAAGATCTTTTGCCGTTACCTCAATTCTTAGCACAGAGGCCCATCTGGTGTCTGTGTAGTTAAGAATCTGGGTGTCTCCCCTATTTTCAGGGGTTCCTGACTTGGGCGTTAGATGCATTGCTCCTAGCAATGCTTGGAGTGGTCTGTAGGTTGAGTGGATGTGTGTCAAACTCTTTCTTTAGCATGCTTGTTGGGTAAGGAGAAAACAATTTATCATGTAGAGTGCAGAAACATTAGAGACTACAGAAGTTATCTTTTTTTAAAACTTTCCAATTTTAATTTCCTTTGAAATTGCTGTTTGCAGTCTTAGTGATAAGCCAGTGTGTTTAGGCTGACTTAGAAAGGAACTCACTGGGGATGTACCCAAGTAGATGAGGCAAGCTCACACCCGAAGATAACAGCTTTGGGTCCAGAGACTTGAATTTATTTATTCCTCTAACTGAATTTCCTTATAAATTCTTCAAAGAATAAATCAGTATGTTAGCAGTTTATGCAGCTGGCCCCCTCCCAGTTAATTGCAGTCTTTGTCCAGTGGCACCCTTTATAACCAAGTAGTCTGTGTGACCAGGAGGAGCATTTCTAAGTTACTGAACTCCAGCTGCACAGGCCTATATATTTAATACCTCCAAAGACATTTTCAAGATAGGCTTTGTATACTTTTATTGGCTTTTTAGAGCCCTGTGGTATGTTTGTGGTATAGGAATGTCGTGCTAAATTGTTTTTCAATAAATATTTTGAAACTTAAGTTTCCACATGAATTATTTTTATTTAATCTGAATTTTTGGTGTTATGCATATACAGCATTTTGTATAGTCAGTTAACTTAAAGACTCATCCCCCTTAACTCAGTTTAAACTTAACTCATAGTTGGTGGTAAAGTAACACGATGTTTAGAAGCCTGTGGTCACAGGGTGATGATGTCAGATGGCAACCGTCCCCACCCCCAGCATCACTACTGTCAGTTGTTCCATCTTACCGTTTCTTTAGTTACACCTACCTGTAAGTTTGTAAAAGGTAATCTAATGCCTATACTCTAGCAGTCTGTTTGGTTTGGGGGTGGGGTGGGGGAGTGTTGGTTTTTTAGGACAGGATTTCTCTGTGTAGTTTTGGAGCCTGTCCTGGAACTCAACTCTGTAGACCAGGCTGGCCTCAAACTCACAGAGGTCAACCTGCCTCTGCCTCTTGAGTGCTGGGCTTAAAGGTGTGTGCCACCACCACCTGGCACAATCAGTCATTTTAAATGATATGATTTAATATGTTCTGATTCTACTGAAAAGTAATGCCCTAATAACTTCAAGTGTAGGATTTATACTTTAGCAAGAGTGTTTAGGATGAGGTAGTTAGGAATGCCACCATGATTTGACTTTTATACATGAACGCAGGGTGTGATGGCATATATCTATAATCTCAGTATTCAGGACACTGAGTAAGAGGAAAAACTGAATAGAATTTACCTCACAATAATCAATAGCGTGCATGTAATTTTAAATAAGGGCCTATGATCTCAACCTCCCCTGAATTCTCTTATTCCTAAAGCTTGGTGCTACTCCATTTGGGGGCGTTGGGGAGCATGTGACACAGGTGAATCACTTGATTTCAGTTTAATAGCACCAACTGAGTTTTTAGTGCATAATATTTATGGGTCCTCAAACTAGACTTTGCCCTGAGGATTTGGACCCTTTCTCCATCAAATCTGCATTCTTTTTTAAAAAACCAACTCACGCCGGGCAGTGGTGGTGCACACCTTTAATCCCAGCACTCGGGAGGCAGAGCCAGGTGGATCTCTGTGAGTCGAGGCCAGCCTGGTCTACAGAGTGAGATCCAGGACAGGCACCAAAACAACACAGAGAAACCCTGTCTCGAAAAAACCAAAAAAAAAAAAAAAACTCACCAATACCCTGCCCAGATAAAGACCTTTGTCCTAGACAGAGAGAAGAGTTCATAGTCTCATGAGCATTAAGTACAGAAAGCTGTACGTGGTGGCACAAGCTTTAATCCCAACTACTCGGGAGGCTGAGACAGGAGACTCACTTAAGGTCAGCCAGGGCAACCTAGTGAGACCTCGTCTCAAGAAATCAAATGGGAAGTGCACAGCCCCGAGCGTGGTGTCTTGGGCCTGCTGTTGAACTTGTCTTTGTAGTGCAAACAGCTGAGCCTAAATAGGATGCGAGCTTTTGGCCAAAACTTTGCAAAATCCAAGGATGGTTTGCTAAGTATCAGGTGTTGTTAACCGCCATTTTAATTTTATTTTTTTTTTATGTTTTCCCCTAGGGTTTTTAACCTTGCTGCTTCCAGTCATCTTTTCTGGATGGCAGAGTTACTACTGGAAAAATTCTTATTTATAATTACTGATTTTTTTTAAGAGTTTTATTTTTGTTTTAAAGATTAACACTTCTTTCACCTCTTGGCTTTAGAGGACGTCACATTACCTGGAAAAAAAGATTTATTTTAAATAGAACATTTTGAATTAGTCTGCAGATTTTAATGATAGTAGTTCCTTTGTCCCCAGATCTCAGGAATGTTTTAGGCAGAGAACTGGCTTTCCCTGGTGGTGATTTGAAGGCGTGTGTTTTAGGATCTCTTAAATAACACTGTTATTGCAGTTCTAGGTATCTATAGCATGAGTGGCCTTAATGAGTTTGTTGGAGTGCACATGTTTTTCAAGAGTAAAGTTTAAGATTAAATATATATGCTATATATAGATATCTAGAAAACTTGGTTGTGGTGCACAGTGTGTTGGATCACTGAATCGAAGGTACCCCTTTTTTTTGTATAACATCACTCGTTTCTGTATATTCCTTTTATGGGAAAATATGTTGCCATGGTGACTAAAACTTTTCAATTTAGTTTTATGTGAATGAATGCTACATTTTATTAAATATTACCAGGTCAGTACTATTTTTATACCTTATTAAGTAACAGGGGTTTTAGTTTAATAGGCTCAAAATAAAAAAACCTTAATGGAATAATTACAAATGAATCACTAACGTTCTTTACAGGAGAATCCCCACTACTAGTGCCACAGGAATTTCTGTAGAAATATCTAAGGTCATTCATAGATTCTGACGTCAGTTCATTGAGTCGAGCGACCTTTCGTATCATCCTCACCTACTTGTAGAGCCCGCCGTTATTTGTAACTGTAAACCACACTGAGTGTGTTTGTAACCAGCATTGTGATACATTCTGTACTCGTATTGCTAAATGAATTATTGACCTAATAAATAGAGTGTTCCTGCATTCATAGTGTATGTTTCCCGTTGAGTTGTGATTGCTTTGGGTTGGAATTCAGGGCTTTTTAATTTTGTGGGCTGTCCTTACTGAGTGAGGGAAACGACGCTAGTGCTCTTGTACGAGAAAACGAAGCTGTGCCGCAGAGGGAACCACGCCCTTTTCAGCCTCTGGAAATGACAGCTTCAGTGCAAAGGAGAGCAGCTGTCACTGTCAGTAGCTTCTGACTATAAAAGGCGGTGTGGGTGGTTAAGGGACCTAGTAGAATTCAGCTGAAAGTTCTCCAGTCCCCCCATGTCTGCGATTCAGTCCCAGCTGCCCCTCAAATGTAAGACATTCTGTCGTTCTAACCTTCCTTTTTCTCACATGAAGGAGATTGCACTTTTAAAAAGAATTCTTCCATGAGAGTCAAAAGAATTCAGGAAATGAGGTCACTTTTTTAAATGTTTTGGAATGTATGTGTGGTGCATGCCGCCTGTGTGCAGGTGTCTGTGGGGGTCCAGAAGAGGGTGTCAGGTAACCTGGAGCTGGACTTCCAAGGAGGTGACTATGAGCTGCCACACGGCAAGAATGCTGGGAGTCAAACTCGGGTCCTCTGAAAGAGCAGCTTCTTGTCTACTTCACTAACTGCTGAGCCACCTGCCAGCCAGAGGCTGCATTTTGAAATAATGTAAAGCCAAGTACTTGGACAGAAACCTGCATCTCACTGCTTGCTTCCTCAGCAGTATTAAATTTGTCTTTCTGCATAAAGTTTGAATTGTCACTTATAATTCTGAGGGTGGCATTTTATTCCAGACTTTGTTAAAACACTTTCTATATCTCATAGCTGGTAATATTCAGGCTGTTTCCAGCTTGTAAACTTTACTGCTTTCTGCATTATTTAACATAATATATAGCTTACTCTGTGACATACGTCTGTCACAGATACCCCAGATACCTCAAACACTACTATAGATAAAAAAAAAAAATTCAAGATGGTCTGGGCATAGCTCAGTGGTAGAACATGAACTTAGGATACTTAAGACTCTGAATTCAGTCCCCAGCACTGCCCCCCACCTCCCCCATCCCGCCCAAGAGAATATAAACACCTGTTAGGATAGCTGTTTTCAAACAAGGGTTGGTGAGGTTGTGGAGGACTAGGTCCGTGTGCACCGTTGAGGAAACGCGAAATGGTACGTGCTGTGGCAAGCACTATGGAGGATCCTCAAAAACAAGTGTAAATACATTTACCCTATGATCCAGCAGTTACTGGAAGGATTTCAAACCAACATCTGTGTATCTGCTGATGGCTGGACAGATAAAATGTGGCATCCTTAAAATGAAAGTCTTTAAAAAGGAAAGTATGGACTGGCAGGGTGGCTCAGCAGAGCAGGTAAGGGTGTTTGTGACCAAACCTGGCAGCTCAAGTTCCAACTGGAACCCATCTGGTGAAAAACTGACTCCCTCAAGTTGTCCTCTACCGTGTGCACCTTGGCACCCCTCCCTCCCCCACACCCAAGAAAATACACATACAGAGGAAATTACGACCGTACTCTAACATGGACGGACCTGATACGCTAAAGCCGAACAGCTGAGTGTGGTTGCACATACCTGTATCCCCGGCACTTGAGGGTCAGAGGCAGGAGGATCAGTTCATGATCATCCTTGGCTACATAGCAAGTTGGAAGCCAGCCTGGGCTACATGAGACCTTACCTCAAAAGCAAAGCCAAGTAAAATTAATATATGATTTTAGTGTAATACAGACAATGTAAGAATGATTTGTCAGAAACGAGGGGTGCGGGGGAGTGGGAGGAGATGGGAAATGGTTACTTAATGGATATGGTCTCCTTTTTACACAATGAAGACGTTCCGGAGATTGGCCGCACAGAAAATGGAAACATAATTACAATAAAAATGGCTAAGATGCAGCACATGAAAGGCTAGAGGATGATAAGATGGTAAATTTTATGTACACAGAATTTTTTAAAAAATGTTTTCAACCTGTGTAGGCAGGGCTGGCAGAGATATCTCAGTGGGCACAGACACATGCCACCAAGCCTGATGACCTTAGTACAATCCCCAGTACTCAGCAGAAAGAGAGAACCAAATCCTGCAAGCTGCCCTCTGACCTCCTCAAGCATGCCCTGTTAAGTGTGGGCACACAGCAAAGTAAAAAACATTTCTCTTAAAATTGCCTGGCAGTTAAGTCAGCCATGATCCATTTGGAAGAACCACCACCATGAAGGCCAGGTATAGAGTGGAGTGCACTCTACTCCCAGTACTTGAGAAGCAGGGGCGAGGGTGGGGGGTGTGGGGGGAGGTTGGTCTACGACAGTTTGGTCTACATAGTGTCAGTTCAGGCCAGACCTACATACACACAAAATAAATGTAAAGCAACTACAATAACAGAAAACCGTTCCTTTTCAAATATGTTCCTGTTACATCCAATTTTGTTACAGTTTCTGTTCTTTTTCATTAGATCTCAGCCTGACATAGCAGAATTAATCCACAAAACAGTACAGAAAGTTTAGGAAATAAACCCAAGTAAATCAGGAGTTTGAAAAGTTACATCTAAAATGGTCATAGAAAAAATGGCTTTCCCCTAAATGCTACAGGCTGTAAATAAACTCTTGCACCCACGGACAAGTGTTCAGCCAGTTGGAAAGCACACACACTGCATTCCTACTGCACAGTGTCAACCACGCTAAGCTTAGGTAGGCCAGTGGGTTAAAGCGAACACTGGAACTGGACTACCAGGAAAAAAATGTGACAATTTCAAATACTCTCGGTGCAGAATCCTTTCAAAGTCATTAAACCCCATAGAACAAATGACTTTCAATTTAGTTATATAAAAAAAGGAAAATGTCCCCCCCCAAAAAAAAAGCCGGGCGGTGGTGGCGCACGCCTTTAATCCTAGCACTCGGGAGGCAGAGCCAGGTGGATCTCTGTGAGTTCAAGGCCAGCCTTGGCTACCAAATGAGTTCCAGGAAAGGCACAAAGCTACACAGAGAAACCCTGTCTCGAAAAACCAAAAAAAAAAAAAAAAAAAAAAAAAGGAAAATGTCTACATCCACAAGAGGAGGAGGAAGAAGAGGACTAAAAGCTACAAGTAATGCTGTGAATGGAGTCAGGAAGCCTTGACAGTGGGATCCTGGCTCAGCTGTGCCAACCCCTGAGCCTGCTTCCCTGTCTACCATAGGGAAGTCTGGCTCACAAGTTTGACACAGAAATCTAATGAGAAGGATAAAGCACTCACTTCTCTCCTGAACCACAGACATGGATAGAGTGTTGCTATGGAGAGATTGTGGAGGACTCCTGGTTTTTGTTTGGTTTGGTTTGATCTTTTGTTTCCCCCCTAGGATTAGCTTTACCATAAGAGCACAGACTGATGTATGATGTAACAGTTAGCTCCCCTTCAACACAGTCTCCCTAGCTACTCTCTGGTGTGCCCACCACTACCACTACAGCAGCATACTTTGGGTGGAGACACCTTAGCTGAGAACAATTAACTTGAAATAATAAATACATTAGAGGGCTGATCAAATGGCTCAGCAGTTAAGAGCACCTATTGCTCTTGCAGAGGACCTGCATTCAGTTCCCAGCATACACACACACACACACACACACACACACACACACACACACACACACTCAACTGTCTGTAATTCTAGTTCTAGGGGATTTGGCGCCATCTTCTGGCATCAGAGGGCACCAGGTACACAGTGGGCTTACTTTCACCCAGGCAAAATACTCATACACTTGCATAAATGTTTAAAAAGCCATACCTCAGTCTGCCAGATATTTACATGCTGTGAAAAATGACAGGCTGGCCTAGAGCTGGAGGCACAAGTGTCACAGTGTGCTGCCGTGTGCGGCCAGTGGCTCATCCGCACCGAGACCTAGTTCCTGTGCTGACTTCTGGTACGAAACATCACCTTTCTTCTTGGGGCTTTCTTTTCTCCTCTAGACAGTGGTTGAAAAAAATGCTGTTCCGGGTGTGTTCTTTCATTTGTTAATTCAACAGAATGTTAAGTGACTACTTTTGTAATTGCTTAGTATATACCAATAAACAGGTTGTCTTCTGGCTCCCACAGGTGATGGGCCAGGGCACACGTGGCCCACACACTTCTGTGCGTGCTAAAAATATCATTGAAACAGTTGAAATTTTTTTCCTCTTTGTAAGTTCATTGTCTCATGTATTTTGTCACAGTGACAGTAAACTGAAGTAGCGATGTGCTTGACAAGTTTGAGGAAAGCAGGGGTTAGGGCAAAGAGGTAGCTGAACAGTTGTAGGACTGGATCACAGAAGATCTAGCAGAACCTGGCGATGACTTGGGCTTTATTTTTATTATTTATTTTATTTGTTTATTTTGTGACAGGTTGAATCATGTTGCCCAAGCTGTCCTGGAACTCTCCATCCTCCTGCCTCACCTCCCCATCGCTCAGATTATAGGTGTGCACCACCAGGGCCAGCTGACGCTGACTTGGGATGAAATGAGGAACGCTGGAGTTTTGAGCAGAGAAACCTGTGATCTGCTGTTTTAGAATTCTAAGATGGTACTGAGTTTGAGGGAAGAGTTAAGAGGACACTAAACCCAGCCTCCCCTGTTGCCCTTAGGGAGAGCTCTCCACCCGCTTCTCCCGGGCTTCTTTTTGGCACAGCCCCCTGGTTGGAAGGCAGAGGCACTCCCCACCTGTTCCTGTAGGTGGCGGTGCTGCCCCACAGACAGTGACCAGCGCTCTATTTTGCAGGAAGTCCCTCAGCATCAGCACCTTCTAGCTTACCGGCCCCTCCCTCCCAAATCCTCCTGTTCTGTCAAAATTGTCATGGGCCGGCTGGGTCCCCAAAGGCCCCGCAGTCCCTTCTTGGGCTTCCGGGAAGCACTGGGTAAAAGGAAGAGACGGAGTTGCGCTCCCACCGGCTTCCCCCTTTGTGCCTCGAATAGACTGACGCTCACTTTCACATTTACTTCTGTGCTTAATTTTTCTTTTGAATACAAATTGAGGGAGGGGAGAGACAAAAGATTCACACATTCACCCTGGCCCTAAGCTATCTAGTTCCCTTATACTGCTGCCTTTAACAGGGTCTTCATTAACTTGTCGCTGCTTTTTTGTTTGTTTTAAAAAATGGCACACGCCTTTAATTCCAGCACTCGGGAGGCAGAGGCAGGAGGATCTCTGTGAGTTCGAGGCCAGCCTGGTCTACAGAGTGAGTTCCAGGACAGGCACCAAAACGACACAGAGAAACCCTGTCTCAAAAAACACCCCCCCCCCAAAAAAAAATCTCTGGGCCTTGGGCGCTGGAGATGAGGCTATCAGCGGTTAAGTGTGTTTTTTGTCCTTCCAGAGGAAGATGTGGTTGTTTCCAGCACGCACATGAGTCGACTCACAACCATTTATATAACTCCAGCTACAGAGGATCCCACATACTCTATACCGTCACACAGACACAAATGCACTTAAAAAGAAAATCACCAGGCCTACTTCCCTTTGTGGAGTCTCCATCTAACTGGTCTTTGGACCTGTCCTGGAACTCACTTTGTAGACTAGGCTGGCCTCGAACTCACAAAGATCCGCTTGGCTCTGCCTCCTGAGTGCTGGGATTAAAGGCCTGTGCCACCACTGCCCAGCACAATGTGCCTTTTTTTTTTTTTTTAACTTCTCCAACTTCCTCCTGTCCTTTTTTGCCTCTCACAGTATCAGCTAAATCCATCAATTGACTGCAGAGGATGTGGCTCAGTGGCAAACGGTCCTCTAGAACGTGCAAGGTCCTTTTTGATCTTCAGTGCTATAAAATAAAAAGGGCTGACAAGATAGCTCAGCAGGTGAGGTGCTCCCGATCAAGCCTGACAACCCGGGCTCCATCCTGGGACCATATGGCAGAGGAGAGACTGGACTGGACTCTCAATATCCTCTAACCTCAAGCAAACTGTGGCAGGTGTGCACATGTGCACACACACAGAGACACACACATGCACACATACACAGCAATCAATGATCAATAATGCTATTATTATTTACCTTATATAAAGTCCTAAGTTTGCCATTCTTGATGCATGCCCGAGTTGCTTCTGCATACTTTGGGGATATCAAATATTAAAGGTCCCAAGAGTTGCACAGGTGGTGTAGATGTGTGAAGCACATTGTGCAAGGTACTAGGCATGGGAGGAGACTGTGGCGAACTAGAAAGCCTATCAGTGAAGTTGGCGAAGTGCTCCTCAGCTCCACCAGCTGGTACATAGGCATGCAGAGCCAAATGGAGGGAGCTGGATGAGAAGCCAGAGACTTGATTTTGCATTGAATGGGAAACAATGCAGTTATAATATTGGCAACTAGTATTTTTTTTTTTTTTTTTTTTGGAGCCGAGGATCGAACACAGGGCCTTGTGCTCTACCACTGAGCTAAATCCCCAACCCCGGCAACTAGTATTTTTTAAATGATGTTAGCAAGTGGAACTCATCGCTGGGAATTAAATGCATTAGTAGCTGCCAATTTTTGACCACTGGTCCAAATCACCATTCTGTTAAGCCTGTTAATGTTTCTTCTTTGGGATTCTTCTGTGTCTAGCCTCTCTCATCTCCATATACTTGGCTCACAGTCATCTGGAAATCTGCCCAGTACCCACGTGGCATCAGTTCATTCCACAGCATCTCTCCTCCCTGGCTACCCTACCCCAAGCTACCCATAAGATGAAGTCTAGATGATTCAGAGGCTGCCAGACTTCTCACTGACAGGCCTGATTCTATCAGCTACCCTATGCCTTGCTTCCCTGTGGCTAACATCCATAAGCCCCTTTGTTCTCTCCCCACATTGGGCCCAGGTGCCTCTCCACATGCGTGGCCACAACTATTTATCTCTGCATAGGTGGGTTACCTGCCACTTAGTAAGTGGCTCTAAATATTTTTTTCTTCTGAGTCAGGGTCTTATTGTGTAGCTTTGGCTGACCTTAAACACACAGAGATCCAACTGCTTCTGTCTCACAAGTACTGGGATTAAAGTTGTGACCTCCAAGCCTGGCTCCGAATAATTTTAAGCAAATAAAAGATGAACGAAGTTGAGCCAATAAAGTAGGATTGTCTTAAGGATTATTATTCCCCACCCCATTTAGTCATAATTTAAAAAATTGAGCGTCCTTTTGATAAAGTAAATTTTCTTTACCCTATTCAACCCCCTCACCCACCCACCCCCAGAGTATACAGTAAGTGCTCTGAGAGTTCCAACCCTGTGGGTCTCTCATAGGTAGCGCCTGGGAGTTCCTGGGCTTTCTTTAATCTGCCTTTTCTTCAGCTTTGGTTTTTGAGGAAGTTTCCTTAAAAAATCTGAAAGAACAGAAATCAGAGAGGGTTTCAATGACATAACAAGTGGTAAGAAACTGCAGGAACACATGCAGGGGTGTGAAAAATAGAACAACAGGAAGTCCCCTGCTAGTGTGTCCCTTCCTCTCGCTTTTCACTGAAACCTGTGAGGTAGAGCGATGACATCACATACACATACATACACACAACACACACACACACACACACACACACACACACACACACACATACACACACACACACAGTTTACAGGTGAGGATGCTTGCCCAAGCACAGAGCAAGGATGTGGTATATCCAAAGCTTTACAGCAAGGCAGTGAGGACCAAACCCCAACCTGCTTGATGTCCCCCTACATCCCTCTTACTCCTCGCCACTGATGACAGTGCTTTGGAAACAAGTGCTTTGGAAACACAGGTCTGTTGGCCAACAACACTGCCAAGTTTTAATCAATATCTGATTTGTGAACACAGTGCAAGAGAAACACCATGCCAGTCACTGTCAGGCGGGCTCTGCCCTGGTGCACCACAAAGGATGGGTCGACCAGTGTGGTGTGCTTTCCTCATGCAAGAATGGGGTGGGGGACCCCACATCATCTCTAATCTCCAACACATTCACTAGCCGCGTGTGTTCGTGTGTGTGTGTGTGTGTGTGTGTGTGTGTGTGTGTGTGTGTGTGTGTGTTACTGGGGACTGAACCCGATCCTCACATATGCTGCAAGCATTTTCTACCACTGAGCTATGTCCCCAGCTCTCAGCTCCAATACACACACACACACACACACACACACACACACACACACACACAGAGAGAGAGAGGGGGGGGGGGGGAGAGAGAGAGAGAGAGAGAGAGAGAGAGAGAGAGAGAGAGAGAGAGACTCATTATCAAGACTTTCTATCTAAAGTCTGTTTATAGGTAAAGAAATAAGTTAGAAGATGCCAAAAGGAAGTAATAGGGAGGAAAATCAGACTGTGGGAGATTCTGACAATGGCCCGATCTCTCCCAAAAGTCGGATAAAAAGGCTTGTTAGGCTAAGACATAACCAGGTGGAGTACCTGGCATGAGAGGCCATCTCAACAGTTACCTCTGGAATGTTCAATTATCCAATTCCACAAAGTGAAACGCTGGCCTGGAAAGACTGATGCCATTCATTTTAAAAAAGCAAGTTCAGAGGGCTGGAGAGATGGCTCAGTGGTTAGGCGTGCTGGCTGCTCTTCCAGAGGACCTGGGTTTGGTTCCCAATACCCACACAGGGGTTCACAACTGCCTGTAACTCTAGTTCCAGGGAATCAGATGCCCTCTTCTGACCACGACAGGCTCCGACGTGTATGTGGTATGTAAATGCGTGCGGGCACTTACACGCAAGTGCAGGGGGACAGCTCACAGTAAAGCACTTGCCACGCAAGAACAAGGCCCTGGTTTGGGTCCTCGGCATCCACGTAGAACACGGTTATGGCACACATGGGATTCCACCGCGGGGAGGTAGAGACTGGAAGATCCCGGCATCTTAATCAGCCAGTCCAGCCAATCAGTGAGCTCAGATTCAGTGAGAGACCCTTATCTCCAAAACTGAAGTTGGAGAAGTGCTCCCAAACACAAATCAAGTTAAGATCAAAATCACATAGGCAGCATAGTCTCATTTTTGTTAAAGTATGTATTTACATTCATAACTGATCTGTAAAGTGTTAACAGTGCAAGGGTGGGTGACAACAATGTGATGTTTATATCTCCCTATTTTTATTTATCTGCTTTTAATTTTTTATGTTATAATAATAACTAGAAAGTAGGTTGCAGAGGTGCCTCAGTGGGTAGAATCCTTGCCTAGCTCTCATGAAGCCATGGGTTTGATCCTCCTCAGCACCACAGAAATCAGGTGGCAGCCTGTTATCCTAACACGGGCAAGGTGTGGACAGTGGGCTCAGAGTTCAAGGTCGTCCCTGTTAGGACTACACTCTGAGTTCTCCAGGCCACCATGCTTGCCTTTTACCTTCCTCAACAGTAGCCAAGGAGGGGCAGCTAACCGTGGCACAGAAGCCTGGGCACAGAAGTGTAGGTAGATGCACGCCAAGTCTCTCTGTGCCTTAGTGTAGAGCAGGAACCCTCACGGTTCTAACCTTTACCCGGCCTCTTTTCATTTAAAAGGCACCATATCCTAAGCCCATAACCCCATGCAGAGAACCAGACATTTTGGTCAGCACAGAGGCCAAAGTGGCTGGAAAGACCATTCCCACGCCACCTAGCTCACTGTGAGACTGAGTCTCTTTCCTTTTCCCTTTATTCCACTCCATCAGAGTGGGCATCCTGCCACTGCTACCCAGCACCTCCTGAGGGTCCATAGCTCAGCACTTAGAAACTGTTTCCACCCTGCTTCTAGTCATGTGAGAAAGGGCCTTTACACCATGTTAACTAAAAAAGGCTGGATTCAAAAGGTATGCACTATGACTCTGCAGGGGGCGTTACACAGAACACTGGGAAAACCGCACTAAACGCCAACAGTGCTGACCTCTGGGTATTGGGTAACTTTTCTGTTCCTTTTCTCCACATTTATCTGCCTATTTTAAAGATTCTATAATGAGTATATCTGGGGAGGAGCTACAAACAGCAAAGAGACCGAAGAAGGCAAAGGAAAGGACAGAAGGAACAACAGAGAAGGAAGAGGCAGTAGACAGGAAGAGGACTTGGCAGGATCGGAGAACCTGAGAACCCCCGAACTTCTCTGCAGCCCCTCACCCTGGTGCCTCCCCTGACACCCAGTGGACATCACCTCCTCTTGAGGACCTTGGCTCCTCCAGCATGCCAGCCTCTTGGCCGGGGGCCTGCATCTTGGACAGCCTCTCCTTCATGCCGCTGATGTTTCCATGCAAGCCCCAGGCGCTGCAGAGTCTGGGGAGACTGTCCTCCTGGCTGGCCAGCAAGGATCTCTCTGGTGCATCCAAGGGACAGAACGCGACCTGAAATCGGGTCCATTGTTGAGGAGAGGCTGGAGATGAGAGGGGCCTAAACTCTACAGCATCAGCCTTACCCAACCCCACCCCCAGCTGCTGAGAAAAGATAGGAGCTCACATTTGCCTAGCCAAAGGGATGGGGTGAGGGTCACAGAAAAACTGGGGATGTAGGGTGGGCTAGGCAGACATCTGTGTCTTCTAGGTAAGTTTAACCCTGTCCAAGCACTCGCCTCCTGTCTCAGCCTACAGAAGGCTATGATTATGCATGCACCATTGCACCAGGTGCTGCATTCCATTCATTGACAGCTAAATGGACATCCTGAGCCACGGGTGAGAACAGCTGAGGCCAGCTTGGGGACATCTCCAGGGCCTGAGAACAGAACTGGGCCTAGCTCTGTCCTTACACAGTGACTCTCAGCTACCCTGATCTCAGGACATGTTTACTTCTTGAGATCAGTGAGAACTCCAAAATATGTGCTTATGTGGTCATGGCTATTCATACTTACCCTATTAGAGATTACAGGTAAGAAAATGTTAAGTGTGTATTTACTAAATTATTTGAAAATTAAAATAGGAGATATACACAAATATTCTATGAAAATTATTTATGAAAAAGTAACTTTGCTCCCCCCCCAAAAAAATTCAGAAAGGTAGTAGTGTTTTATATTTTCAGCTCTCTTTAGCATCTGGCTCCAGGGAAGACCTGCAATTTCAGGTCTCACTCAGTAGTTGTGAATAAGTTATGACTTATGACTTATGATATGTTGTCTTGGTTGAAGCACACAGAAGTGCGGCCTCATACAGATACATATTTAGAAAAGAACAGATACTTTTCTTTGTTGTCATACTAAAAATGAAACAAACAGTAGTTTCTTAATTGTGGTTCGGAATCTGAACCATATGGGTAAACTTTTGAAAAATGAATAGGCAGCCAGGTGGTGGTGGTGATGGTGGTGGTGGTGGTGGTGGTGGTGGTGGTGGTGGTGGTGGTGGCGGCGGCACACACCTTTAATCCCAACACTCAGGAAGCAGAGGCAGGTGAATCTTTGTGATTTTGAAGTCAGAAAGGTATCTACAAAGCAAGTTCCAGGACAGCTAGGGCTATACAAAGAAACCCTGTCTTGAAAAACCAAAATAAAATAAAGTAAAATCCACAGGCTCATTTATTTGTTTTGAAACAAGATCTCACTTGGACTCACTGTGCAGCCTAGGCTGGTATCAGATCTGCAGTCGGCCTGCCTTGGCCTCCTGAGTGCTGGGATTCAGGGACTGGGCCACTGTGACCAGGTGAAAAAGGGAACAGACTTTTAGACAGGTATAGTGGCCCATGCCTCTAATCCTAGCACTGGGAAGCAGAAGCCAGCAGATCTCTATGACCTGTAAGTTCGAGGACACCCTGGTCTACATAGTGAGGTTCAGACTAGCCAAGACTATATAGACCTTGTCTCAAAAGGTAACAATAATAATAATAGTCTTAAAATTGCTCTAAAGGACAATGTGGAAATTTGGGGTCCGGCCCCTGCCACCCACACCTCCATGCTTCCCCAGCTGTAGAAACTCTCTTTAGGCACATCTGTCAAGACTAGAAAGACCACATGAGCAGACCCTTTCTATAGAAGACCCGGAATCACACTAGGATTTACGTTTTGTGTTGTATACATTCTATAGTTTCTATTTAATTTCTAAAACTTCTAAAATTAACGTAGTAATTATACAAATGAGTCTTTTATTTTCATACATGAATAAAATGTGACTTGATTGTATTCACTCTCCACACCCTTCTCTCCCCTGCCCCAAGGCACGCCCCCCCCCCCCCCCCCCCCCCCCCCCCCCGCCATGGCACCCCCCAACACACACACACACACACACACACACACATTCTCACTGATCTTTTCCCAACTAAATTCCTTCTGCTTTCATCTCTTTTTTGGGGGGGTGGTGGTGAACCAATAAAATTAGAGTTGCTTATAGCAACACAGCTAAGGGGTTATTTGCAGAACACGGGCAACTTAATAGTGACACACTGTTACAGGTTTTGATAAATGTATGGTGAACGTCCCTACCCTTCCAGTGTCTTTCAGAACAGGTACACTACCCCAGTCTTCTGTGATCCACTTACTCACCCTCTCCTTCCTTCCTGGGAGCTCTTGGCAAACTGCTCTTTTCACTGCACTCCAAGTTTTGTTTTGTTTTTGCCGAGACAGGGTCTCTCTGTGTAGCCCTGGCTGTCCTGGAACTCGCTCTGCAGACCAGGGTGGCCTCGAACTCACAGAGATCCACCTGCCTCTGCCTCCCGAGTGCTGGGATTAAAGGCGTGTGCTACCACTGCCCGGCTGCGATCACAGTTTTACCTTCCCAGAACATCTCTGGGCTGCAGTCATACATTACACACCTCTTCATCGATCTGTTGGTGAACTGTCCATACTATGGTTCACTGGAATCCATTTTTCTATCTTTTGCATGTTAAATAGGTCTCACCTTCTGAGGATTCTCTCAAGACTTCAGAGCATACTTTGAGAGCCTCTGGTTCAAAAGAATAATCCTCAACAACAGCAGTGAAAGTCACCTTTGTGTCAAGCACTCTCTGTTCCTTCCTGTGATCCTCACAAGTAACTCTAAGCAGCAACTAGAGCTATTACCCACAATTTGTAAATGAAACATCCAAATGCTGGGAGGAGAGATACCTGTGCCAGAACTCACAAGGGGGAAGACAGCCAGAACGCAATCTCCGGCTGCCTTTACGAATGCCTGCTTGGCCAGCCCCTCCCCACTCCACCTCGACTGCTCCTCTCCAACATGAATGCTTGGATCATTTTGTTAATTCTCTCTCTCTCTCTTTTTTTTTTTTTTTTTTTTAAGATTTATTCATTATGTATACAGTGTTCTGCCTGCTTGCCAGAAGAGGGCACCAGATCTCATTATAGATGGTTGTGAGCCACCTTGTGGTTGCTGGGACTTGAACTCAGGACCTCTGGAAGAGCAGCCAGTGCTCTTAACCTCTGAGCCATCTCTCCAGCCCCATTTTCTTTTTCTTCTCCTTCTACTTACTTTTGTTTTGCAATGCTGGGGTTGAATTCAGGGCCTCCCACAAGTAGGCAAGTGTTCTACTACAGATTTATCTACATAGCCCCGGCTTCTCTGCTGTGTTACCAGGTTGACTCTGACTCCTGGGTTGAGTGATCCTCCTGCCTCAGGAGCCAGTCTATTGGTTGTCGACTCAGTGTCCGGCTCTAGCAGTTCCTTTTCTAAATATAAGACATTGTCATTATAGTGACTTCTGGATCTGTGGCCTTCACTGGCCAGATGGCTTCCAAATATATCTTCAGGCTCTCAATTTAAATTTTCGAAAGTTAGGATTTTAAAAAGAAAACTGTTTCATTATGAACAAGCAAATAAGACACTATCACTCTCAAAAAAAACCTGGAAGGTTTAACCTTAAAATAAAGGGTAGCCTGGCTGGGGTCTGGGGGCTGCAGAAAGAACACTTGCTTGGCACGCACGAAGCCCTGGTTTCCATCCATGCTAAAACCATGGTGTGAGCATGGAAGAGGAATAAACGTCATGATTTGGTGGCCCTAGTCAGGTCCCTCAGGGGACAGTGTAGGGGAAGGTATGAGTGGTGGTGCTTCCTCAGCAGTGAGCTCTGGAAGGGACAAGAGGGGACAGGCATTAGAGAGCCACTCAGTCTGAGTCCTCCCCTCAGGATCTAAGAGCACATTGACCAAACTCCTGCCGGACCTCCAAGGAGCTTTCTGGAAACCTCACCAGGAACTTGGCTGTCTGGTTGGCTTTGGTGTACCTATAGAGCCGGCGAAGCTGCTTCGACTCCAGCTCTGAGAAGAGGGAGACAAATCGCCAGAGCATCCTGCAGAGAGAAACCCGAGACAGACTGAGAGAGGCTGAAGAGAACCTGTTCTCCCTCTGCACTGTCTGTGACCAGGATCTATCCAGTAGAAATGGGCTGCAAGTTGCTTCCTCAGTTTCGAGTTGAGGGGGTGGAGGTGGAGACCAGGACAGAAATGCCGTATGCTGCTAACAAGCACCTGCATACAGCGCCTGTTCACCTCGAGGCTACAGGACTCTTCTCAGGAGAGGCTTAAAAACGTGTGTGTGGGGGCTGGAGAGATGGCTCAGAGGTTAAGAGCACCCACTGCTCTTCCAGAGGTCCTGAGTTCAATTCCCAGCACCCACATGGTGGCTCACAACCATCTGTAATGAGATCTGGTGCCCTCTTCTGTGTACATAATAAATAAATAAATCTTTTAAAAAAAAAAACAAAAAAAAAAAAACGTGTGTGTGTGTGTGTGTGTGTGTGTGTGTGTGTGTGTGTATGTGTGTGTGTGTGTGCCACAGTGCATGTGTGAAGGTCTGGGGACAACCAATAGGCATGGATCTCTCCCTCCACCACATGGGTCTGAGGGACAGAACTCAGGTCAGTGGGCTTAGTAAGGAATGCCTCACCTACTGAGGCATCTGGAGGCTCTTGGGAAAGGCTTGTGTCTACTGCGTGTACAGCTAAGGAACACTCAGTGCTGCCCTGGTGGCTACAAGGACCTGTTCTTTCAACATCTGCCCTCTCCCAGGACCCTAACCCTCTCCCTGACTGGGGAGCCTTGACTGGAGGTGGGATAAGGCAAGGAGGCTGCCTACTTTTTCCAGTGCTTCATCTCCCAGGCCCGGCAGTAATGCTGCAGGAAGGTGTTGATGTGGTCCCCCAGGGCCTCCAGGCTCCGCTTTGTAAACTTGACCCGCTTCTTCTGGGGAAGGTCCTTGGGCAGGTTCAGCTTTCGCAGGAACTTCTTCAGAGGCCTCAGGTACTCCTTACACTGAGGGAGTCACAGGTAAGGGGAGGGGCGGAGAGGTGGGGAGAAAGGCAGGTGGACAGTCCCGTGTCAGGCAAACTGGCCTGCCTGCAGTCTTAGTGGCTCACAAAGGGCCGTGTGCTGACAAGGCTCCAGGGGATTCCCACCCGCTTCCATCCTGAGTGTGACAGATCAGAAGCCTCCTGATTCCTCCCAGGCTAGTAGGGACAGGGTTCCAGGATAGCCCCTTACAATTTTGAAGGTATCCTGGCTCAGGCCCTTGGCATGACGGACCAGAGCATCTCCAGTGGGAACGGTGCTGAAGTTCCTCTCTAAGCAGGGGACTCTCCCCACCTGGAAGGGGGTGGCACAGTCAGCGAGGCCTTGGGCCTGAGGACCAGTGCCGGGCAGATACTGGCAAATATCTTCGACAGTCAAACCCTCTCCATTCTCCCTGTGATCTCTTTCTTAAAACACCATTAGGTTAGTGAGCCTGGGCAAAGAAACCTGCTTAGAAAACCTAGAATATTTCACCTGTTTCTTTTCCAATAATTCTTGGCTATACTAGGAAAATTAACATTAACATCCTGATAAACATTAACTCATTTCTTTTCCCACGAATTCTTTGAGGTTAGCTACCATTACCTCTGCTTATAACTGAGAATAGTGAGGCATTGGACTCTGTAAGGGGGTGGGCAGCAATTGCTTTTCTTTCTTTCTTTTTTTTTTTTTTTTTTTTTTTTTTTTTGGTTTTATAAGACAGGGTTTCTCGGTGTAGTTTTAGTGCCTGTCCTGGATCTCACTCTGTAGACCAACCAGGCTGGCCTCGAACTCACAGAGATCTGCCTGGCTCTGCCTCCCGAGTGCAGGGACTAAAGGCGTGCGCCACCGCCGCCCAGCTGCTTTTCCTTTTATTTGGCACTTTATTGAGGTCCAAGGCCCATATCTACTCATCTCTGAATTTTAGCATTATGACACGCATTTGAAGTGTACCCAGTAAGTAAGGTGGTGATAACAGGAGTCTTGTGACACATAAGTGGGGCAAGGAGAAAACAGAATAAAATGAGTGGTGACAAAGTGGCTGTGAAATACTACTAAAACTCTGCACAGAATTCAACTGGTGTCACTGGGTTTGCCTTCTTTTTTTTTTTTTTCTTTCCTCTGTGTAGCCCTGGCTGTCCCGGAACTCACTCTGTAGACCAGGTTGGCCTTGAACTCACAGAGATCTGCCTGCCTCTTGTCTCCCGAGTGCTGGGATTAAAGGCGTGCACCTTACATTTTCACAACCTCTCGGGACAATCAGATCACCTGCTGTCTGTGTTCAGAGAGGAAGAACCACACTCAGAGCACTTTAAAGGGAAGCTAGGGGAAAGGCAAAGAAGGGGCAGAACAAGCTCCTCCCCACTGTAGAGGGCGAGTCTGGCTAACTCCATGAACATAGCCACATTAACTGTACACAGACCACATAGGTATGCTCACATAGGTGTGGGTGAGCCTTTATAACAGCAAAATGGCACTTCCCATCATCTTGCCAGAAACACATCTTTGATAAATGTGTTTATCATTTATCCCTCACTTTGTGGTTCTGGGAGATCACACCCCACTCGGGCAAGCTCTCCACTACTGACCTACACCCTAACTCAACTGTTTGAACTTGTTCTTTGGGGTTCTTGCTAATCCACATACACCACCAATTTTTTTCTCCTTGTCTTCTTCCTTGAATTTTATGTTCATGGCTTTCCAAATCCAGCCCCTTCCCTGGTTCCCTCACATCCCAGCCTCACTTTACCTTCTCTAATGGCTTGGCTCCTTCACTGCCCTGCCCATGTGAGGCTTCCATCTCAACAGCTGGGCTGGCAGCCTCAGGACAGCACTCCTCGGGTCCCCCACAGGCTTCTAACTTACTACTTCTGTGACCTGAGAGCCCCAGTAGTAGGCAAGTTGGCTCCAGAACTCGGAGGAAAACCATGGCAACTGCCAGCACAGAGCTCAGGCCCCTCTCTATCCTGTCCACTAGTGCCTCAGGGTGGCCACCAACCATCTCCTCCAACTGGGAACTGAACTCGGTAAGTGAGTAAGTGAGCCAGGTGTGCTGAGTACCCTGCCCCATCCCATCCCCAACCCCCACCCCCACCCTCCGCCGCCCCGTCAGCGCTCACAGCTGACCAGCGCAGGATGGCACACCTCCAGCCAGATGCTATTGATTTTAAACCCTGATAAGGCTTTTGAAGTGATTTTCCTGGATGGATACCCCTCCTGCCTCCGTAGTTACACCGGGGGCTTCTTGAGAGAGTGTGTGTTGGCGGAGGTGGGGTGGGGTGGGGGTTGTAACAGTCCTTTCCGGAACAAAGGACTGAAGAGAGAACGGGATATAATAAATCTCTACTGAAATACACTGCTAGCCCCTGTAGCCACCAAGTTAATAAACTGGTTGTGCCAGAAGATCGGGGTTGCTTTAAGGGTATTTTACACAAGTGCAGTCAACGTATATTTCATTAATCCTCGCCAAAACCTTCCTGGGGGTAGGTGCCAAGTACCAACAACGAGCCTGGGGAGCCCAGGTCCTATCACTCGCCCTAGCTCAGTGGCCACTGAAACAGGCGCAAGGCTTTTGATCGGATTCCGAGCGCTCCGGCTTTCCCCTCCCGCATGCCCGGGTGACCGGGGCCACAGGAGCAAACACTGTCAGCAGCGTCTGGAGCCGCAAGAACCTGTCTGGCTGCTAGGCTCTCCCCGGCTCCAGGCTGTCAGGACGGCTTCGTCCCTACCCGGGCACCAGTGCCCCCTCGCGTCCGTCAGCAGCTAACGCAGCCTGGTGCACAAACGGTTGCTGCTGCGGTCCACTCACTTAAACCTATCTTCCCTGAACGCTGGATTCAGTCTATCGCCAGGACCTCTTGGGTGTCTTCAGGGACTGCAGAGCAACTTTCCCTCACCCAGTTTGATCATGTTCTCCCTCTTCGCTGGTGGCCACTGGATCGGGCCGCTGTCGGCCAATAGAGTATTCCCTCTGTCCATCTAGTCACACAGGACAGGGGGACAGGACATGTTGGCTCTTGACAGCTTCAAGGCTGGAGGCTGGGAGTCCCTGGGGTTTGGGTGAGTTCCTTTTCTGTCCAGAAACTCTTTATATTTTATATATATATATATATATATATATATATATATATATATACACACACACACACACACACACACACACACACACACACATACACATACATATACATATATATTATGTATACAGTGTTCTGTCTGCATGTATGGACTGCAGGCAGGAAGAGGGCACAGATCTCATTACAGGTGGTTATGAGCCACCATGTGGGTGCTGGGAATTGAACTCATGACCTCTGGAAGAACAGTCAGTGCTCTTAACTGCTGAGCCATTTCTCCAGCCAGAAACTCTTAACTATCCTCTATTCCTATTCCTTGTACCATTAGGTTTAGCAAATTGTGGGGGAGGGGAAGGGGCAGAATCAAAGTCCCTACTTCTCTGCCTTCACTTTGGAAGATCTGTTCCCTGAGGGTTATTTCACAGCTAAGGGTGGTTAGAGGAAGACAAAAGGCCTCCTAGACACTCTAGAGGGAGTTAATTGTTAATGCGTTTGAAGATGTAAACCATGCATTATCGCTGTCCAGTCTAGGGATAGTCCTAAGGAGAAAAAGATTTGACAACAGTGACATTCTGGAAACCATTCTGGAAATGTCATCAATAGGATAAATAAAATGTTATGACACATATCTGTCACCCACGTTCAAGGCTTATTCTATAGTTATACCCACTGAGACGTGTGCGGTGATATTTCATTTGTGAGCTAACAAATAAAGCTTTCCTGAAGATCAGAGCGGGGAGCTAAACCACTGGTTAGCCATAGAGGCCAGGTCGTGGTGGCGCACACCTTTAATGCCAGCATTCGGGAGGCAGAGGCAGACGGATCTCTGTGAGTTCAAGGCCACCCTGGGCTACACAAGATTGATCCAGTCTAAAAGAGAAACAGAGCCAGGGAGTGGTACACACACACACACACACACACACACACACACACACACACACACACACACCTTTAATCTATGGCTGGGTGGAGAAAGGAATATAAGACAGGAGGAGACAGGAACTCAGTCTCTTTCCAGGCTGAGGTTTCAGTAGAGGTAAGAACTCTAGTGGCTGGCTGCTCTGCTTCTCTGATCTTCCAGCATTTACCCCAATATCTGGCTCCGGGTTTTTATTAAGACCAATTAGGATTGGTGCTACAGATGTGAGACAGGAGTGGGGTCAGCATGTGTGGCCCAATCCCATATACTGGGACACATTTTTGGATATACACTGAAAAGGATGTTGGAGTGCACGCTTCACAATCTCAAAGGGAATTTCTTCCCCCTGTTAGTTTTTGTACCTGTAAGCTGGGCAGGCCAGTGATCTTGCAACACCAGTGTCCAGGAAGGCTGAAGCAATAGGGCTGTCTGTAGTAAGTTCAAGGCAAGTCTGGGATACACAGCAAAATCTGTCTCAAAACCCAAATCAAAACATAGAATATATAGTTATGAAGAGACGGGGTAGACTGGAGTGGGAGGCCTAAATGGGAAGAGGGTGGGTGAGGGGTAAGAGAGGGAATATGGGGGGGACAATTAACACTAAGGGCCATTTGAAGGGCCATATGGAAACCTGCAGTAAAAGCAGTATGCACGTATGAAGGAATCTAAATGTAGTCACCAAGAAGTGGGGGATGGGGGAGATAGGTCAATACCCAACTAGAAATCTTGAAAAAAAAAAAAAAGCTACCCATAAGAAGAACTAAATAGTGAGCCAGGCAGTAGTGGCACACACCTTTAATCCCAGCACTGAGGAGGCAGAGGCAGGTGATTTTCTGAGTTTGAGGCTAGCCTGGTCTACAGAGCAAGTTCTAGGATAGCCAGGGCTGTTACACAGAGAAACTCTGTCTCGGAAAAAAAACAAACAAACAAAAACTAAATAGCATTATTAAAAGATTGAAAACACACAGGGCAGTGGTAGCGCATGCCTTTAGTCTCAGCACTTGGGAGGCAGGGGCAGGTGGATCTCTGAGTTTGAGGCCAGCCTGGTCTATAGAGTAGTAAGTTCCAAGACAGGCTCCAAAGCTACAGAGAAACTCTGTCTTGAAAAACCAAAAAAAAAAACCAAACAAACAAAAAAAGATTGAAAACATAACAGAGGGCTCAGGAAGTAGGTCAGGTGGTAAAGTCCTGAGTTTCTGCTCAGCACCACAGAGACCAGACACACATGCCTGTAATCTCATCACCAGGAGGGAGAAGAAGGGCTATTACAAGTTCAAGTCCAGCCTGGCCTACGTCTGTACAGACTGAGTGCTGGTCACCCAGCTGCGTACAGACATTCTGTCTCAAAAAAAGAACACAAATGGGTATGTACATTAAATCTAAACGTGACATCGATATGACCAACACTGAAAAAGAAGATCTGAATAAGCATATACATGTATATTACTCTTGTGCACAACACACACACACACACACACACACACAAACACACACATCTACATTTCAAAAGAGAGAAACAGGTTTTAGAAACAAAGGCTTAGCCATTGCATTCTCTTCAACACCCCCCTTTCACTCCAAAAGCCTCCAGCAAATCCTAAGCTTTGAATGGCTGCACTGTTTACATAATGGCTTTATTATCAAACATGGGGAGTAGCCTGAGCAGAGGACTGATAATAGCCAGAGAAATGGCTCATGTACAACATTAACTGAAGCCAAACACAGAGCCATTGCTTTTGAGAAACACACTTCAAAATTCAATTGGTCAGCATCAAACCACTCTGTAGGGCAAGTCAACTCATTTACCATTTAGTTTTAAAAGCTAGACACCGTGGGATGGCAAGATGACTCAGGAGACTAGGGCCGCATGAGTTTGATCACTAGGACCCACAAGTCCAAGGAGAGAATCAACTCCCCAAATTGTCTTCTGGCCAGATGGTGTGGCACACACCTTTAATCCAAGCACTGGGGAGGCAGAAGCAGGTGAATTTCTGAGTTCAAGGCCAGCCTTGTCTACAGAGCGAGTTTCAGGACAGCCAGGGCTACACAGAGAAACCCTGTCTTGGAAAACAAACAAACAAACAAACAAACAAAAACCAAACCAAAACAAAAAACAAAAACCTGTCCTCTGACCTGCACACACTCACACACACACACACTCACACCCTCCCTCCCCCCCAATAAATAAATGTTAAAAAAAAAAAAAGCTACTCACCATGTTTACTAGACATCTGTGAGGGCAGTATGGGAGGTGAGGCCTGGTGGTTTGCCCACACTCCATTTGGTGCAGGCTGGCATTCTCCGTTACCGCACAGACTGTTCTCATAGTGATTATGTATCACTCTCCACCATAGGTTCACAAGATAGAGACTCCAACTTCCCTTATGTATTCTGAATTAAGTAAGCATGGAAAATAGTTCTTAGCAACTCCTTGAACCTTGCCTCACAGATCTGAAGATCTGTTTCTGCTGCCCCCACCCCTACCCCTACCCCCCTACCCCCACCCCACTCCCGGCACAGAAACTTTCTATTTCCCCAAGAACTCTCCTCTATCCCTTCCTTGATGAGATACTTAAGGGTATCCTTAGAATTGCTAAAAAAGGTGTTTTGATCTTAAGGCAAATTATTGTTATGTAGCTAAAATTCTATCAAGACCCCTAGGAAAGGAAAGGCATTCAAATGCTTATCACAGCTGTAGTACTGTATCAGCAAACAGAGCCTACGGCTCCCAGATGAGGGCCAAGACACCCCTACTCCAAGGTCATACGGGTCTGAATCATTACTTAAGATAGGGCTTGAGGGAATCAACAGAGCTTTGAAAGTGCAGCAAATTGTACTTGAACTCATTAAAGACTTTAGGAAGCAGGCTCTAGCAGGTATAATGGAGTTGTGTGCACCTTTTCAGCAGTGGTTTTGGGGATTAGATAGGTCTTTAAATCTAAGTCGTGGAAGCCCTTAACTGGAGGCACCGAGAAACGTCACACACAGTCTTGAGAGGACCGGTGCAGGAAAAGACAAAAGGTAGGCAGTCTTGCTAACCATATGTCAGGCCCAAATCAAGCACCCAGGGATTAAAGTAAGTCCTGAGCTTTCGTGATCACATACAGTGAAGGTCAAGTGCTATAGGCTTCCCCTGAGGTGTGGACAGGGGATTAGCTTTGCCTGGGCCAATCCAAGGCATGTGGGCCTGTCAATCAAAACAGGCTGTAAGGCCTTACTTCCCTTGCTGACAGGATGTAGATCCCTCCAAGCACATGGGCCGTAAATATCTCTTTATCTCCTGCTACTCTCCAAACAGTTCTCAAAATATATTTTGTAGTTATTTCCCTGCTCTTAACTGAATATGTGCTGTAGTTTTCCATTTAATGAAGCTTTTACTTAATCTCACCTTTTTTTTTTGTCACAATGTTTTAATTTGGGCTTCTTGCTCTAAAAATATCTTGTCAGGGTATCAAAATAACACTGCAGAATGACAACCTCAGAACTTCAGAGCATATTTCTAAATAGCCTAATAATATGCAAGTGTCTGTGAGGCTGTCAAATTGCTGGGCCAAAGGATTTCCACTCTGCTTTTACAGGAAGGTTTCTCTCTTGAGATGAGATTTAGAGGTGAGTCTGAATTAATGCAGTGAGCAAACACTTGAGCTGGGAATAATGTTAGAGAGAAAAAAAATCATCTACAGGTTTTGCAACAGTTTCTCCCAGGATCTGTCCTCCAGGGCACTGGATTTTGTCTACCTCCCATCAAGCCCAGATTGGTGTTTCTGGGAGCAGTGTTAATTAATATCAAAGTCTTCCAGACTGTGAAAAAAAAAATCACCTGCTTCAGACCTTTAGAATCCGAATCCCCGGAGATGGCATGATATTTTAATAGATGCTTCTTATCATTAGGCAAATTTGGGAAAGACTGGTATGGTGAGCTTAAGTCCTCAGTTATCCCTTGTAGAGATCCAACCGAGGGAAGTGCAAACACTAGTATTTTCCTAAGGTTGGATCACCAGAGCTGATTATTAACTTTTCAGATTATGTCTATTGTGTCTCTGTGGTAGAAATATTTAATGGTGTTCTGCTAGGCATCTCTTCCTAACTCTACATTCATTCATGCCACCTTTGACAGCTGGGTATTGATTTAACAGTTTTTGTATTATGTGTGTATGTGTGTGTGTGTGTGTGTGTGTGTATGGAACAACTTAGTGGCAAGCACCTTTACCCAATGAGTCATCTGGCCAGCCTTCTTTTTTTTTTTTTTTTTTTTTTTAAAGATTTATTTATTTATTATGTATACAGTGTTCTGTCTGCATATACACCTGCAGGCCAGAAGAGGGCACCAGATTTCATTACGGATGGTTGTGAGCCACCATGTGGGTGCTGGGAATTGAACTCAGGACCTCTGGAAGAACAGCCAGTGCTCTTAACCGCTGAGCCATCTCTCCAGCCCTGGCCAGCCTTCTTAAAAAAAAAAAAAAGCCAGGCGGTGGGTGGCACACTTGAATCTCTGCACTCGGGAGACAGAGGCAGGCAGATCTCTGTGAGTTCGAGGCCAGCCTGGTCTACAGAGCGAGATCCAGAACAGGAACCAAAACTACACAGAGAAACCCTGTCTCGGAAAAAAAAAAAAAAAAGGCGGGGGCGATTGTGGTGGTTCATATCTTTAATTCTAGCACTCTGAAAGCAGAGACATTTGGATCTCTATGAGTTCAACGTCAGCCTAGTGTACATAACAAGTTCCAGGCCAGCCAAGGCTAATTAGTGAGACCCTGTCTCAACAGACAAACAAAATAGCCTCAGGTGTCCTAGGCTGGCCCTTAATCTCCAACCTCTGATTCTTCTGCCTCTACCTTCTGAGTGCTAGGATTACACACATACACCACCACACTCTGCTCTATGCAGTGCTGGGGACGGAACCCAGGGCTGTGTGCATGCTAGGCAAGGCCTCTACCAATCAAGCTAGTCGCCAGCTAGATATTGGATGCAGTAACAATATTTACACAACAGAACCCCCACACTGCTATACAGCAGGGGTCTCTCCTCTCCATCAAACTTGAGCATTTTCCAGGATGAAACCAACTCTGAACTACAGTTTCCTCCATTGCAAAAACAAAATAATAAAGCCCGTCTCTCAGAGTTTCCCTGAGGATTAAATAAAGCTCAGGCAGATAAAAGGGCCATCAGTGTGTCTGGCACATGGTAAGTGTTTGGATAGCATTTGTTCCCTTTCACCAGAGACCACTGAGGGTAGAGCCCTGTTTAAATCAGCAATCCATAATCCCAGTTTCTAGCCCAGGGCTCAACAAATATTTGTTGAATTGAATAAATGACTGGATGGATAGATGTTCCTGGTGCTAACGAAGAAAACATCCTTACTGCTGGCACCAGAACTCCTTGTAGGAGAGGATAAAGCATCAAAAGCTGCTGAGGCAAAAGATACCTGAGTTGATTGCCAACGAGAGGCAGTTGGGCTAATCTCAAGTGGAAAATGAGAAACTGGTCTGGGTTTTTTATTTTCATCTGGAAAGCAGCCAACAGAAGAGGAGTTAGATGGGCTCTGTAGAGACAGAAGTTTTCAAAGCAGACAGGGTGAGAGACTGGGGATGCTGGGAACGAGTCTAGAACAGATACTAGCGTTTGGATAAAACATTCCCGGGGACAAGGTAGCTGAACACGTTATTAATCTGGATTGTGTGTGTTTGCTTTGTGGTACAAGATACAGCCATTCCCCACAATACACAGATCTCCAGTTACATCCCTGTCTACTGGAGAGCCTTGACTATGTGTTTGGTTTGGAATAGGATGAATTAACTTCCAGCCAAGACATAAAAGGGTAATGGTGGTGGGTGGGGCTTGATCAAGGAGGAGAGCAGGGCACAGATGCTATAAAGGGGTAAATGAGAAAACAGGAGGGGTTTTAACTAGAGAATGAGGGTAATATAGAGGAAGAGGGAGGAAGGCGCAATAACTAACACTAGAGAGGTTTGGAAAAGCCACAGAGGAACATATTATTTAATAAACTTACTTAAAATGTGTGTGTGTGTGTGTGTGTGTGTGTGTGTGTGTGTGTGTGTGTGTTTGCAAAATATACAAAAAATATGACAAGCTGCCAAGGGGAAAAAAATCTATCAATAGTCAGACCCAGCCATAAGTCTATGAACAGTAACAGTGAAGGGTCCAGCAAGATACCCTCAGTGGTGCAGTAGTGGAACTTTTTATCTGGACGGTGACCAACAGGCATCTACCTAGACGTAAGGCCCGCTCAGCAGGAGGAAGTTCATGTCTGATATTGTTAGCCTAGCCAACTATCCCTAGCTGGAGGGGTCACAGACTCTATAGTAGAATATATTACTTCCATTTCCCTAAACCATATATATGTGTGTGTGATACATATATAGATTGTAAGAGCCAAAGGACCAAATTCTAAGATTGTAGGAACTAGAGGACCAGGACTTCTGCGCTAGATAGTCATACGACAGAGAAACTGCACCCACGAAATCCCAGCAATATGGCTGTCTGAGCAAGGCCTGCACAATGATACGCCAATTTTTTTTTTTGTTTTGTTTTTTCCGTTTTTCGAGACAGGGTTTCTCTGTGTAGCTTTGCGCCTTTCCTGGGACTCGCTTGGTAGCCCAGGCTGGAATTTTTTTTTTTAAAGATTTATTTATTACATACACGCTGTTCTGTCTGCATGTATGCCTGCAGGCCAGAAGAGGGCACCAGATCTCATTATAGATGGTTGTGAGCCACCATATAGTTGCTGGGAATTGAACTCAAGACCTCTAAGAGCACTGGCTGCTCTTAACCTCTGAGCCATCTCTCCAGTCCCCCCACACCCTTTTTTAAAATGCTATTATTTGCTTTCTTTTCTTTTCTTTTTCTTTTCCCAGACAGGGTTTCTCTGTAGCTTTGGAGCTTGTCCTGGACTAGCTCTGTAGACCAGGCTGGCCTCGAACTCACAGAGATCCGCCTGCCTCTGCCTCCCGAGTGCTGGGATTACAGGCATGCGCCACCACCGCCCGGCTCTTTTCTTTAACTTTATTTTATATGCATTGGTGTGAAGGTGTCAGATTCCCCAGAACTAGAGTTACAGACAGTTGTGAGCTTCCATGTGGGTACTGGGAATTGAACCCGAGTCTTCTGGAAGAACAACCAGTGGTCCTAACCACTGAGCCATCTCTCTAGCCCTAACATGCCAAAGTTAATGGGGGAAATTTCATATGGCCCCATGCCTAGATGAAGAGCTCTATGAAATCAGTGGCTGCTGAGAGGAAGAATCAGTCTTCTCTAGGGATGAATCCAAAGTGGTCAGCCCTAACATGTCCATATGAGCAACACTAAATAGACTAAGTAGGTCCATATCTATATCTCCATATCTATCTATCTATCTATCTATCTATCTA